TGTAATGGTACTTGTTTATGAGAAGCAATTATAAACTGTCCGTAAACGCGTCCACCTAAAGTACATATGCAGATATGTATGTACTTTCTTAATTCATGTTATGGTGGTGTAAACTAGATCAAAGCAAAAAAAGACTAAAAAAAAGGTTAAAAACTTAGCTGATTTACATACCTACTAGGACAATGTCAAGATTATGCAGAAAAGTGCAAGCGCAAAAATCGTACAGGTAATGTTATATGTATACATTTGGAAAACAAAAAAACTATTTAAGTGTATATATATATCTCATTTGACAAACATTTAAACTGAATTTAAAAGGAGTATCATGTAGCATATCTCGCTTAACAGACGTTTAAATTGAATTTCTATAGGTAGTTTACAAAGTTGCCGATACCATTTCAACGTTCTCTTCATATTTCTTGGAACTGCAACAAAATGAAGAAATTAAAAACAAGTTTATCCTCAACTTAGTTAAACGCATTAACCTACATTGCATATGCATTCATGTTAAATCTTAATTCGTGTTCACTTTAAAAATGTCTAAGTGCAACATTGCCCTAATGGTTATGATATATGCAGCTTAATCGATAGGTTGTAAGTTGAAGTCCTACTCGTGTCATGATCATGTTTACTTTTATGGAACCAGTACTGGTCCATGTAATGTTGCTAGAACTTGTTGCCAACTTCATTTATGTTTAGTTCACCTGTCACAAAGTGACAAGGTGAGCTTTTGTGATCACATTTCGTCTGGCGTCCGCCCGTCCGTCTGTCCGTAAAATTTTACTTTAAACGACATCTTCTCATAAACCACTGAGCCAATTGCAATCAAACTTCACAGGAATTTTCCTTTAAAAAGCACAAAGAGCTAGAGCCTAGATATTCGGCCTGAAACATCTTCTAGTGAGTGTCTACCAAGTTTGTTTAAATAAAAACCATGGGGTCAAAGTTGGCCCCGTCCTAGGGGTCTGATTTTCTTATATGTATATAGAAAAAAAATCTTCTTGTAAAAAACTCAAATAGCTTAAGCTTAGAAATTAAGCATGAAACATCTTCTAGTGGGTGTCTGCCAAGTTCAAATAAAAGCCCTTGGGTCAAAAGTGGCCCCGCCCGGATGTCATTGATTTTTCTTATATGTATATAGTAAAAACCCAAAGAGCTAGGGCTAAGATATTTAGCATGATGAATCTTTTTATGGGTGTCTACCAAGTTTGTTCAAATAAAGGCCCTGGGGTCAAGATTGACCCCACCCAAGAGGGTTATAGATTTTCTTTATATGCATATAGTAAAAACTTAAAAAAACATTCTTTTAAAAATTCAAAGAGCTAGAGCTTAGATATTTAGCATGAAATATCTTCTAGTGAATGTCTACCAAGTTTGTTCAAATAAAAGTCCTAGTGTCAAAATTGGCCCGCCCCGGGCGTCGTTGATTTTCCTTATATGTACACATCTTTATGAAACTGTTGGTTTTCCTTAGCAATAGCAACCAATAATGTTTTTTACATATGTAATATTTCAGATACAAAAATGAACTTTGTGATATCAGTTTAAGATTTAGATTATATATTTGCTTTTGTTTAAAGTTTACAAAATATTTGTTCTTTGTCATGGAGAGTTTCTATATTCAGGTAAGCTATTTCAGGGCCATCATGGCCCTCTTGTTGTTATATTTTTAATAGGCTTGTACATTGTACATGATCTATAACACAATGATATAATTTTACAGACATAACGCCAATATAATGGTAATAGCAATCATGATATTTTTTCACAATTCATTTATCAAAAATAACTAGAAAAACTGCATTATCTAACGACTTTTTACCGTTTTCCAAAAAAATTTTAATTTAGATTTATAGCGAAATGGTAACATTGAATATTTTTAGCAGTGGTTTTAGTAGAATTGTAATTTTTGTAGAAAAATTGTGAAATGATGATGAAAATGTCAAAATATCTAGAAATCATTATTTAAAATTTAATAGTTACCGAATGCAATAGCATCTCAGTGCACGCTCGCAGGTGTTTCAAAAATGCCATAAAAACGTTCATAAACATATGGTTGATACTCGGAAAAGCCGTTATTTTTTATCCCTTCTTTGTAAAAGTAGAAAACAACAAAAATATTTAAATAATATATGTGACACGCTGGTTTTATTGCCTGATTAGTTTTTTAACTTGCCTGATTAACTCAAATTATTCAATTTGATTAAAGTGGGGTCCATATGATACTTTTCGCAGAAAAGCATGGCATTGTGTAGAGACAGTTGGTCGCTTTCAGAATGGCTATTTTTTTTTTTTTTTTTTTTTTTTTTTTTTTGAAGACTACCCACACAATAGTAAATAATAGTAGCTTTATCTGTATGTTTAATATAAATCACTATTACGTTTATTAGATTATGTGATGTATTGACATGAATTGTGATTTCGAACGTTATATGTTGTGTATATTGTAATTTGTATTGGTACCAATGAGAAATGTTTTCTGATACGTATGTCTTATCTGTAATTATGTAAGAAATAAACCATGATATATTTAATCTTCGAGTGCTAGGAAACTAAAATATAAATACTTCTATGAATAAGTAGAATATCTCATGAATTATTTATTAAAGTTTTACACTATTCAAAACTGTATAAAATCGGGTTTTCCTTTCATAATCTTTCATCAATTTTGTATAAATGAAGAAAATACTAAAATAATTAACTACAGCTTTATATTAACTATATCTTCTGTTAAGAAGAAGATATGACTTTTATTTAGCACTTTTTGCCAATTCCCCTTCATTATTTTTAAGAAATCAATAAAATGTGTTTCCCACTTTAAAAAGCTTTAGTTTCGATTTCGTTGAAGCTATATAAAGGGGAAATGCTTACAATCATATTAAGGATACACTTGTAGTTGCCATGTTTTCTTGTTAGATAATAGATCAATAAATTAAACACAGGTGTGAATTATTTTTGCCATAGAATGAAAGATTTGATATAGATCCCACAATATATATGATTTTTGTTTTTGTTATGATATATTTTTGTAATGTTATCGCATAATATTTAAATGGTATTATACATGTATTGTTACTGTAAATATTGTATCTGTAAATACTGTTATGCTCTTCATCTTTGGAGGAAATAAAAGTATCTATCTATCTACCTATATTAATTGAAAAGGTTCGATTAATGTTAGATTTCATGCTCTAGTCCAATCTATATTTTCTACGAGTAGAAAATAATAATAATAATAAAAAGACATTGGAACAGTGGCACTGGATTTACTATGAATATTTTAACCGTAAAACTGTTAAAATTATTTTACAATAACATTATTTTGTGCTTTTTTTTTGTTCGCATTATCCTACATAATCTTGACCTTGTCCTAGTCAGTATGTCATTATGCAAATCAGATCAGTTTTCAACAATCTTTTCTTTTCCTTTGATCAAGTATATAACGACATGAACTAAGATAGTATTTTACATATCAACACATGAATTATCATCTAAATTATAGACCCATTTGTGAATAATTTATAACAAGTAATAACCAAGTGCTTCATGCGTGGCAATAAACATAAATAAATAATAAATGAATAAATTACTGAACTATTTTATAGTGCATTTGTTTATCTATATTTCATTCAGACTATTTTAAACGTATATAACGTATACCTAAATTCGTTATTAAAGATTAAGCCATCGACATTCTAGAAAGGTAACCTCCCTCGTAAGCAATAAGAATAGGAGAAAAATAACAAATTATGGTGGCTGATTTTTGCCACGTCGTATTTCCGCCAGGCGAAAAACACGAAAGTACAACGTGACGCCTTTGTTGTACTTTCGCGAAAATACGATAATACGGCAAAATCACTACGAAGCGAAAATACGATGTGGCACAGTTCAGCCATATCAAATCAAATTATCACCATCATCATTATTATCATCATCATTTCACTTATATTTTCATTTAAAAATCTATAAACGATCACTTATTCTTGGATGATATAATTATGTGGGATAATTCGACGCTTTCGTTATTTTAAAGCCATTGTTTAAAGAGGAACAAACATAAATTAATTAATGTATACCAAAGATAGCGTTACATCAGAAATATTTCAAAAATGCCATTTATGCTTTGCTTTTTCGCAATTTATATATAATTTATTCACATCAAATTGAATGTCTTTCTCTGGAACGAATATTGTCGTCATTTCCGCACGTCGTTTATCAGTTAAGGTACATATGATGAAAGAAGTATGTGCGACTCCCTTGTTGTCTTATAATTATGTCTATTATCCTCGTTTCTTATTTAACCCCCCATTCCCCCCCCCCCCACACACACACACTAAAATGGTGTGTTTGGTGACAAAGTAAGTTTAGCAATCATTATCACAGTCACCAATCCTTTTCTATTAGCCAAAATGCAACAAAAACAAATAATAACAACGGATTATATCAAAATTGAAAAATTGCAATAAATTAAACAGCATAATTGACAACTGGTATGAACTTGTATGCTACTAGAGAGTCTACAACAAAGTACTCATTTGGCTTGTTATGTGTATTGTATTTGTAATGAGTTTAACGGCTTATAGTTTCGTATTTCATCTTCACTAACATTTAGAAAAATTGTTTACCTGAGTAAAGCATGAACACAACTTCAAAATATAATCAAACCACACATGTGGGCCTATTTTGTTGTGTGCAGGTTCAATTCTCGGGTGAGGCGTTATTTCTCCGTGATATAAGATATCAGACATTGAGTCTCATGATCATTTGTCTCTCATTGCTGCTTCCGAAATCACGTTGGAGTAGTTGCTGGTCACGTGGTAATTACTGGTTAGTTATCCAGGATAACCGGTTAAGCGGATCGACCGCCGATCAAAACGCGGTGTCAAAAAAAACAACAGAATAACAATACAATACATGCTAAACAAAACTATTCGAGACACTGAATCGACCAATGTGTGAAAATAATGTTTTTAATATGTTCTGTGTTCTTATATTTACAGACTGTCAAGTCATCTGGGTATCCTACAACTTTACAATGTCTCAGATACGGATGGTGGAAAATATACCTGTAGATATTTCACAAGTCTCCACTCACATGACGTTCTAGAGAAAAGTGCCTTCCTATCGGTTCATTCAGGTAATTACTTTTATCGGTTAATCAGGTAATTACTTTTATCGGTTATTCAGGTAATTACTTTTATCGGTTATTCAGGTAATTACTTTCATTGGTTATTCAGATAATTACTTTTATTGGTTATTCAGGTTATTACTTTTATCGGTTATTCAGGTAATTACTTTTTTCGGTTATTCAGATAATTACTTTTATTGGTTATTCATGTTATTACTTTTATCGGTGATTCAGGTAATTACTTTAATTGGTTTTTCATGTTATTACTTTTATCGGTCATTCACTTAAATACTTTTATCGGTCATTCAGGTTATTACTTTTATCAGTTATTCAGGGAATTACTTTTATCGGCTATTCAGGTAATAACTTTTATCGGTTCAGTCATTTTTAGAAAATGAGTACCTATCGGTTCAGTAAGCTGTATTCAGAAAAATTAAAATCTAAACGTTCAGTTAGCTATATTTAGAAAAATGAGTACCTATCGCTTCAGTTAGCTATAGACATATCGGTTCAGTTAGCTATATTTAGAAAAATGAGACATATCGGTTCAGTTAGCTATATTTAGAAAAATGAGACATACCGGTTCAGTTAGCTATATTTAGAAAAATTAGTACCTATCGGTTCAGTGTTCAGTTAGCTATATTTAGAAAAATGAGTATCTATTGGTTCAGTTATCTATATTAAGAAAAATGAGTTCCTATCAGAATCCATACAGGCAGCTTTATATAGAAGAATGAATTCCTATCGCTTAACTTGGGTAACTAGTTTCAGAAAAATGAGTCCCTGTAGGTTTATTCAGGTAGCTATTATTTAGAAAAATGAGTTCCAATCGGTATATTTAGGTAGATAATTTTAGAAAAATGAGCTCCTTTTGGTTTATTAAGGTAGCTTTCCTTTAAGAAAAAATAAGTTCCTATCGGTTTATCGAGGCAGCACTTTTTAAAAACAAAATGCCATCCTATCGGTCCATGCAGATACTTTTTTTGAAGAAAAAAGTCCTGTCGGTTCATTTAGGTACACTATAGTTATTGTAACGGTTCATTTAAGTGGATATTTTTTGGAAAGGTGCCTTTCCTATTGGCACTTCCATGGGATAGTTTTCAAGAAAGAGCCTTCTTTTAGTCTCATTAAAGGGGTGCTGTGGCCTAGTGGTTAAGGTGTGTGCCTCTCAACCCAGGGATCATGGGTTTGAGCCCTAATCAGGTCGCAACCATGTTTCCTCATATGGTGCCAGGAAGGTGACGATTCGAAAGTGATTGCAAAGAACTTGTTTCGCAATCGAGCTGAAATAAATGTTGAAACCAGTCTCGTTAATTGAGCGAGCTGAGAGTATTGCCCTTATTGGTTAGTTTGATAATAATTCGCTCCTATACGTCAGGTAGATTTTGATTAAAAACGCCTTTCTATTGGTTAATTAATAAAGCTATTTTAAGAAACATGCCTTCATGTCGGTACATAAAGTTAGTGATTGCAGAGAAATCTCTACCAATACGTTATTAGAAACAATAATTTTGAAAACTGAACATTGTTAACGAGTTGATTAAAACAGTTCATATAAGTTCATAAATTATGATCTATCTGAATAAGAGAAGTGCCTTCCATATGGAAAGTGCTTTCATCTCGCTTCATTCAGGTAGACATATAAAGAAGATATGATAGACCGGTGGTGACATTTCAACTTCTTGAATTATCGGGTTCATCTTCACGATATCACAATTTCAGCTTCATGAATTCACGATTTCAACATACAGAATTTACGAATTCACGATTTCATTTTCCTGAACCCAAGATATAATCTTCGTGAATTCACGATTTCAACTTCACAAATTCACGATTTCAACTTCGCGAATTAATTATAACGATATCATCTTTATGAATTCAATTTCACGCATTCATGTTTTGAACTTCACGATTTAAACTTCGTGAATTCACGATTTCAACTTCTTTTAGATAAAATCTTGAATTCGTGAAGTTGAAATCGTGAAGCTCAAAACATGAGTTCGTGAAGTTGACTTCATAGAATTAAAATCGTGAATTCATGAAGTTGAAATCATGAATTCACGAAGATGAAATCGTTAAATTCAAAACGTGAATTCGCGTAGTTTAATTCATGAAGTTGAAATCGGGAATTCATGAAGTTGAAATGTCCCCACCGGTCTTTCGTAGAAAGTTACCTTTCCTATCACTTCTTCTTGCAGTTATTTTCAGATAGATGCATTTTTATATATTTTCAATGATAAAGTTATATATGGGAACGTCCGTTTCGATCCAATATTTAGTTCTTGTTTTTTTTTGTCATTATTTCTTAGAATTCGCATGGAGTAAAATGAAAATTGTTTTTCTGCAGACGAATTTTAGTATACAAAATATCATGACTGTGTCTAATTTTCACGATAGTAATGAACAATGCGAAAGGTGGACGTAATTTCATCAAAGACACGAACACTTATTATTTCCAATTATTTCATGCCTGACATTCATAAATATGAGACAATAATCCAAGGACGATCTTTGTTTTATTTGTGGATAGAAATTGTTTTCGCCAATTGTTGAAGATGCGTATTAAATGTCGGTAAAGGTTAAAGTAACGATCAACACATGAAGTAAATTAATGAATAAGACCTCTTGGTTATTAAAAATATATATAAATACTCTCTCAAACACATTATACCGCGATCAGCAAGTCATTGCAAATAAGGCCGGGCAGCACCGCCAAATTAAACCACAAGTTTTTTAATACTGGACAACATAAGAAATTTTTTATCTACCTTAAACTGATTTCTCTATCACATCTACAATAACCTTAACACAAGCCTGAATTCTTGCTAAAACAAAGTCATTATCTTTAAGGATAAATCTCAAAATTTATATGTATTTTTTCCAAAAGTTTATTCTCATAGACTTAATATTCAATGTTAACTTAAAGATTGAATTAAAAAATGACCTTTTTATGTTTTAGAAATGTAAGAAAAAAATATGATTAAAGTACAAGATGTTTGCGTTGAAATATTAATCCAAATAAAAAATATTGAGTCTTGATCCTAAATGATCATTTTGTTGATCAAGAAATTAAATTTGCTAATCATTATTCCTATATATTCAGCAATAAATGTATGGGTTTTTTTTTGAAAAAATCAGCTATTTTTTTTAAAAAAAATGTGTTCATTAAACATATTATTTTTGTCTAGTTTGATTAATAGAGAAAAAATCCAAAAGAACGATTGAAAATGTTGCTGTTGAACCTGCCCATGGACTGTACTGGAAAATGCAAACGCCCCCTAGCACCGGCTAAAATAGAATCAACATTTAAATAGGAAAATGCTGAAATTTTGAATTTAGATACATCATTTTGAACAAACGGAAATCATTTTAGTCAGTATTAGGTGCAAGGTTCTTTACATATGAAAATAGGCGCCGAACATATACTGTCAAACCAAAAGATGTCTTACTCCAGAATCGTTTGATTTTGTCGGTTCATTAGAGGTAGTGGAAAGTGCAATATTGGCACCGGTTCAAGAAGTATTCAACGGCACAAGCACTGGAATAAAAGATACCGAAATAGAATGTAATGAAAGAAAAACTGAACTTGGAGGAAAAGCAAATATCTAAAACCATTCTTTATGCTATACAAATTTTCTGGTATATAATTTATTTCAAAGTTTACTTTATTAAAGGCTCTTGCTTTCGACGCTTTATATTTATTTCTGACATTTGATTCATACATTTGATTCATTTACGGAAAATGCATTTTTTTACATTATTATCCAATTTTAATGTCACATTTAGATATCTTATTTCCCGTAAATTATCTCAGGCTGCGATGTTAACGCCTTAAACATACGACAAAAAAATTACACAGTGATGTATATGCAGCTCTCGTGTTTTAAAAAGAAAAATTCCAATATAAAATACTGAATAAGGTTCCGTTGACAACTGAACCCAGTAAATATTTGAAAGGAATTCTTAATTACATGACCTAAATGTTTTCTCTATTTTCCTGTGTAAATGTTGAATAATGGCAAAGGCGGTGACAGGTAGCGTTGACGGCCAATACTGTCCATTAACAGGTCAATCACAGAAGGCTGCGTCATTTTCAATTTTGACGTTTGATGCGTTCTTGCATTTCTATTTCACATTTATGACGTAGGCCTTGTTCATATACATGAATAAAAACATTGAAGAAACCGTATAAAACATTTGTTGTTTTTTTTGTCTTTAAAAAATATTGCTCAAAAACGATTTTGACCATTTAAAGTCATTGTTAAATGCTTATTAACAAAGCTTAAGACATATTTCTGGCCATATCGCGCCGAAAGGATTATTTGTGAAGCATAAAAACTGATTTGAGATATTTGCTGTATTTCCATATTTTATATTTTTACTCTGAAATTCATTATAATTTATTTCGTTGTTTTTTATTCTTTTTTTCCAACACATGAGGTGTTGGAAACTGAATAAGGTTTTGATCCGGTGACAATACATGGGCTATAATTTTCATTACCTTTAATGAACCGATCCAACGAAACCGAGTTTTTATTTTGCTCCTTTACACTTTTTTATATTCAAGGGAATTATAAATTGTCATCTGAAATTATGTTTGGCAAATTTAAAACATTTTCCATAAGATTTTTACCATAAATCATTGTCTTATACTGTGTTACCTTAAGGACTTATTTAGCCGCCTCTCCCACACCGCCAAAAGACAATATTTCTTACAAATCTTTTAATTTTGGTGTACTATTATAGTTTCTGAAATATTATAGGCCTGATAACTATACAAACTGTAACTTTTTGCCATCTTTGCCATAACTAAAGTAAGAATTGATTAAATATTTTGTATGGAAGACAAAATACCAAATTTGTTTACGTTTTCCCAATTTTGGTTAATATTGACAAATTAATTTACATTCAACGCTGCTATCTTTTGGTGATTATCATCTTATATGCTCCTTATCCATTATCACAATATCATATAACAACGATTTGTCTGTCCTCAAGAGAGAAAAAAAGACATTGTAATTTCTGCGGTTTAATATGCCTTTATATGGTTATTATTTTCAACTCTAAAAGTACTGTAATATAAAAGTGATCTTGAAGGACACGATTTGTTCGCTTGGCTGTAAACAGCTATATTCTATATTTGTATATTTTGATGGACAATTGGGATGAAATTCTATGAATATGTAGACAGGTTACCCCAGACAATGACTGTAATCTTTAAAATGTTAACACTATTTCAGTCCATAATCTTATATTTATTTTCTTAACTATTTAAGGGCATGAACTTGTATCTCATATATTTGCTATTTTAGAACATATCTTCTCTTTTTGAGGACATGAGCTTGTATCTCATATCTGTTCTATTTAACGACATATTTTCTCTTTTTAGGACATGAACCTGTATCTCATATACTTTATATTTTAGGACATTAGATCATGACCTTGTATTTCATATATTCTCTATTTAAGAACATATATTTTATATTATAAACATGAGCTTGTATCTAATATATGTGCCATTTAAGGACAAACTGAACATGAGCTTGTATATCATATATTTGCTATTTTATAACATATCTTCTCTTTTTTTAGGACATGAACCTGTATCTCATATATGTGCTATTTAAGAACATTAGAACATGAGCTATTTTAGGACATATCTTCTCTTTTTAGAACATGAGCTTGTACCTGATATGTTTGCTATTTTAGGACATATCTTCTCTATTTTAGGACATTTGCCTGGAACGCCAACACTGCTGAACACACCTCAGAATCTCAGTGTAATATCGGGTACACCTGCCCTTCTCGAGTGTCTCGTCGAGGGGGGTCAGAATGTTAAAATCTCATGGAGGTATTCAAGTAAGTGATCCTTATTCTATAGTAATCATAATAGAGAAGTACGAGTAAGTGATCCTAATTCTATAGTTATCATAATAGAGAAGTGATTCTTATTCTATAGTTATCATAATAGAGAAGTAAGTGATCCTTATTCTATTGTTATCATAATAGAGAAGTAAGTGATCCTTATTCTATGGTTATCATAATAGAGAAGTAAGTGATCCTTTTTCTATAGTTATCATAATAGAGAAGTAAGTGATCCTAATTCTATAGTTATCATAATAGAGAAGTAAGTGATCCTTATTCTAAAGTTATCATATAAGAGAAGTAAAAGATCCTTATTCTATAGTTATCATAACAGAGAAGTAAATTATCCATATTCTATAGTTAGAAAAGAAAACGGTTATCATAATAGAAAAGTAAGTGATCCTTATTCTAAATAAAATGTTGAAAAATGGAAGACACATTTATAGCTCAGGTTAAACTGTGTATTCAAATATATTTGTTAAATGTATTAGGAGCGCATAACTTCGCTAATCTGAAGATACAAAATTGGTTCGTCATTTCTCGAAGCCTTACATAAAGTATGTCTTTCATATATAACCATTGATATTTTTATATATCAAGATGGAAGCGATGTTCGACAGGAGAGAGGGAAAATTAATTTGTCCGGTCGATTAAACCTACAGTTTTCAAACACCATACGCAGTGATGCCGGGACGTACCAATGTGTTGTCCAACATGCAGGGGGCATAATCACTAGAAATTACAGTATCAAAGTCAAAGGTGCGATTCTTTGGATGTTTTGAGCTTAAATATTTTAAGAAAAGCATATTTTTCTTGTTAATTTATATATACAAATCTTACGTTGTATTTCACCTTGAATTAGAAAAAAATGCAAATTTCAAGGGCAGATAATTCGTAACTAAGGTTAGCAAAGCCTTATTTTGCTGTTTCTTTATATGCTGAATTGAAACCATTATGCAAAAATTCAAAAATTAGTGCTGTTAGTCAAATTATTCCTCTTAAATTAAACCTACGCCAATTTTCTTTTTTAAAAATAGTATATTTTATTTTTTTTAAGAATTCTCAGTTTCCGTATTTTAACGGAATAAAAGACTTACTCTAAAGAATTCCATGAATTTTTGTATTTTTACCAAAGATGAAATGAGTGTCAGGGTTATATAACGTTTTATAATACTGCACGTTTGTAACGTCGCTTTTCATTGGATAATCGTGACGTTTATATAGTTTTATATACACGGCTGTTGTCGATTTGTAAAGAAATCTCGCTTTATTCCTCTAAAAATGATGCTTGCTGTATTATAAATTCGTTATAAAGATTGTTGACAGGTTATATGACCGTATATAAACGGCTGTTTGCAATATAACCCTCGCCTAGCGGCTCGGGTTATATTTACAAACAGCCGTTTATATAGGGCCATATAACCTGTCAACAATCTTTATAACTAATAATATAACGTTAAATGACCTGAAAAAAACGAAACAAAAAACGTCATCGCAGCTGTGATTAGTTTCAAAGCCTTGTTTCGTTCAACATATGACACAGCTGTTACGACGAAGATTCCTTATAAAGCAAATAAAGCAGCGTTTTTGTAACATTAGAATTAACCTTCACCATATCAATAAAATACGGAATGCCGTTAGGGCCATTGCCTATGAATGTGTTGATCTGAAACGCGATAGTCGATAGTACGATAGTGAAAACGCGAAATCACGAAACTACGATGGTGAAAACGCGAAAGTACAATGATGAAAACGCGAAAGTACGATGATGAAAACGCGACAGTACGATACTACGATGATGAAAACGCGATAAACTATCGTGTTTTCACCATCGTACTATCGCGTTTTCACCATCGTAGTTTCGTGATTTCACGTTTTCATCATCGTACTGTCGTGTTTTCATCATCGTACTAACGCGTTTTCACCATCGTACTATCGCGTTTTCATCATTGCACTGTCGTGTTTTCATCATCGTACTATCGCGTTTTCACCATCGTACTGTCGTGTTTTCATCATCGTACTATCGCGTTTTCATCATCGTACTATCGCGTTTTCATCATCGCACTATCGTGTTTTCACCATCGTAGTTTCGTGATTTCGTGTTTTCACCATCGTACTATCGACTATCGCGTTTCAGATTAAAGCATTCATAGGCGATGGCCCTTACGGCATTCCGGAATGCCGTTAGGGCCATCGCCTATGAATGGTTTGATCTGAAACGCGATACTCGACTATACGATGATGAAAACGCGAAATCACGAAACTACGATGGTGAAAACGCGACAGTACGATGGTGAAAACACGATAGTTTAACGCGTTTTCATCATCGTAGTATCGTACTGTCGCGTTTTCATCATCGTACTATCGCGTTTTCATCATCGTACTTTCGCGTTTTCACCATCGTAGTTTGGTGATTTCGCGTTTTCACCATCGTACTATCGACTATCGCGTTTCAGATCAACACATTCATAGGCGATGGCCCTAACGGCATTCCGTAATAAAAAGCTATTGAAACTTTAGAACTTAAATCTTTATTATGCATTGCTTTGAAAAAAACTTAAGCAAAAGTCATGTGTATTCTAGATCTAAGATTTTCAGCTTCTTTTCTAAGTCTGAAAATAAACACCGTTTGTCAAGCATTTTTTCCTTCTATAAAATATGTTTTATAATAATAATAATAATAGTAGTAATAATAATAATAATAATATTAATATTAATAAAAATTATAATAATAATTATATCTTTATTTTCTCCAAAAGAAGAGCACATTCTTTACATTTTTACAATCATACAATTATAATGAAACACGCAAAATGTTAGCAATGTTAATTATCAAAGAGTTTCTATGGTTACAGTTTGAAAATCATAGATATTTACATAAATACACATATTAGTATTATTTTTGGACACATGTAAATATTTATATTGTAAATTTGTATAATGTTAAAATAAATATCCTTAAATAATCGATCAGTTAAAAAGTGTATAAATGAATTCTAAATCAGAGATATAAGATTGAATTCTTCGTTCATCTACCACACTTAAGGAAGCAAAACCGATGAACATTTCAAGTAACTGATTGTCTGCGCTACATGTACAAAACTTCATATTGTATTTAAAATGGACAGACAATTAACAACTTAATGAAAGTTAGATCTGCTGCTTTGTCTCTGAAACAGACTGATGCGTGGCAGCTGTTAGACCGACCTTGCACTTTACTTACTTTGTGGTTGTGTTGTTTTGTTGTGGTTTTTTATTTTGGTCTTCCGGAAATATTGATTCCAATTTTGTTTAGTTTTGGGAATCAAATACCGCTTAAATCTGTGTTAGTTTCATGTTTTGCTAAAATGTACCTCTCACATGTTTTCAGAGCCACCAAAATTTATCGTAACACCCTTGCCGTACTTCCGAAATGTACTGGCAGCCATTACAAGACTCACGTGTGAGGCAACCGGAAATCCGAAGCCGACGGTGCAATGGTATAAAAATGGTCTGAAGATTTATCCAGCTCCAAGAGTAACGGTAACTTCTTTAGAACAGCCTTATTACACGTAATTGTTGTTATGATGAACAATAATGGAAGAAAATCATATGATATGGTGATATTACGTTTTTATTTACTAGCTACATAGCAACCTTTCATTTCAAGGTAAAACCAAAAACAAATACGTACAAACAGAACAGGTATCACCTATCTATCTTACTATAAATTATGTCTTGCTAAAGTTCAAGGCTAACTGCACAAGGAAATATATATATTAGTGACATGATGAAAGATGAGCTTTCGCTGTTATACATTATTATAAATTTTAAACGAAGCCTATTGAGTCACGTTCAGATTTCGAAAAGTCAAGTCCTCTAGGTGTCTTACTTGCCTAGATGAAAAGCTAACATATATGAGCTCAAAGCCTTTTACTTGGCATACATGCGAGCTCTTTACTATAAAAACTAACCCATATATAGAATATTTCTTGATCAGTAATCTTTTTTGTGAATCGAAACCGGAAGCCTCGTTGGAATTTCTTACTGTTCAACTTAATTGAAAAAATACTGAATTTTTCACCAAGTAACATTCACTTAAATGAGCAGGCTATACACTTAATGCCGTAAAAATAATGAGATTTTTAAAAAGGTTATCAGAAGATATTGTTTTCTCAAATGCAGTCGTGTTTTTATTTTGTTTGATTTTTTTTATTTCATTTTCAGATCAATCCCCAGCTTATACTGTATGGTCGCCTTGAAGACACCGGCTATTATCAGTGTATAGCTAATAACTCACTTGGCATAAATGTCGCGACATCTTTTGTGATCTTTGAGAGACAACGTAAGTTCATTTGTAACTCTTGTCCGTCCAAATTGAAGTTCTAGTCCTTCGTCCCTATTGTAACTTTATTCTGTCCACACTGTAGCTCTAGTCCGTCCTAGCTAATTTAAGTAAGTCAGTCCTAATCGTCTCCTTATCGAATAGTCTCTCCCAATTGTAGTTCTAGTCTATCACAATTCAAACTAGTCTGTCTTTAATGTAGCTTCCCTAATTGTACCCATAGTCCCAATTAAAGCTCTAGTCAGTTCCAATTACTCTTTTATGTCCCAATTGTAGCTTTTGTGCTCTAGCCTGTCCCAATCATTAACATCTTAAATGTAGTTTTGTCCTCATTTTGTCCTAACTGCAGCTCTAGTTCGTCCCAATTATAGATCTAGTCAGTCCTAATTCTAAATTCGTTCCGTCTCAATTGTAGGTCTTATCGGTCCCGTTTCTTATTTCGGTCGGAACTTTGTCGTTCCATTGACTGTTATAATATTATACTTTCAAAGTTGAATTAATCATTATAGCGGTATGTTATGCGTACATTCTATCCATCATAAAGTCTATTTGAGAAAAACAACGCGTACTCACAAAGTCATTGGACTATTAAACAAACAATAGAATACTGTTATATTATAATTTATTATATCATATAATTTACGATCTTGTCTTGTGCTAGTATGAAACCAACGATGGGAATTAAAACTTTTTTAATTTAGTGCATTTTTCAAAAATAAAATCTTTCTTTCTCATTTTGCATGATCTGTAAAGATCTTGTAAGTCATTTTATGATTTATTAACATAAATATAATGCTCAAATGAAGATTTATCAATATTGTAAGTTCCAAAAAGCATTATTTGTAAAGATTTAACCGAGTTTACATTTCATGTTAATAAAGGGAGGTAATTAGAAATTTATTTTCTATAAAGTTTAAGTCAAATTTTTCAATAAGAAATGAATGCATACATTTTAATGATTACGTATAATGTGGACAAATATTTGCAGTACATATTTTACATATTCTTCGATGTTTGAAGCATAATTGAGCCGCGTCACGACAAAACCAACAAAGTGCGTTTGCGACCAGCATGCATCCAGATCAGCCTGCGCGTCCGCGCAGTCTGATCAGGATCCATGCTGTTCGCTTTCAGTTTCTCTACTTGTAAGCGAACAGCATGGATCCTGATCAGAATGCGCCGATGCGGAGGCTGGTCTGGATCCATGCTGGTCGCAAACGCACTATGTTGGTTTTGTCATGACACGGCTCAATTATATACATACTCGTATATAAAATTTCACTTAAATGTGGTAACAACCTTAATTACAACATACAGAATCTTTAATGATTCAATGTTAACAATTGTGTACTAACTTGACTATTTTTATGCTTTGGATTAATTTGTACATCAAAAAGACTAAAAGCTGGTGTCCGTTATTCATAAAACTTTACAAACACGGTTGAAATACCGACGTTTTATTTGGGATCGTCGACTCCAAAAAAAAAAAACTTCTAGAGAATTGCTTAATATGTACAATACGAGTCAATATGAATTACTCTTTTTATTTTCTTGTCACAGCAAACACACCAGATATCGTGACAAACGTGACAGCTACTTCTATTTCTTCACACGAAGTGAACGTGACATGGTCACCTGCCGACACTCCAGACGGCTTTCCTATTGTAGCTTACATGGTTAATTATCAATTTGTACATGGTAAGTTTGAAAGAAACAAAAACAAAAAATCAATGTCACACACAAAGTAATTTTTACCGTACGAAAGCCGAAAATAAAATAAAACATTGGAAAGGCGTTATAACGCGAATTAAAATGCGTTATTACGCCAAACAAAAAACGCAGTACATAACGCGAATAAAGGTGTAATAAGGTCTTTGTATTATTTTATTTTATTTATACTACTAGGCTTTCGAACGGTAAGACATACAATGGTAGGATACTACGTCATCGCGCACCTGCAAAATGCTGTCAATCGGATTGGTTTTCTTGTCGAATCGAAGATAAGATACTTTTTTATTTTAAGAAATCGAAATCGTTAAGATATCAAAACATAATGTAGAGCACTTAAGATTGGCTTTTAATAATGGATTTCTTAGACTGAGAAAATTTTTACCGATGTTTGCAAAAAATCAGTTCGATTGGAAGCATTTTGCAGGTGCGCGATGACGTAGTATTCTACCATTGAAATCATTGATTTTTTTTCTCCTAATTGTTATTTTCATTTGCATAGTAATTAATGTGGTTTTGCGGTTGAGATAAGCCACAGGCACCTTTCTACTCAATCCAGACAGTGTAAATGTTTTAACTAAACTGAATTAACTAATTGAAATATATTATTGTAAAACCTTTACATGTACTCAGCTAAATAACCTAAATGTACATCTTTCAATCTGGACAAAGCCATTCATCACCTTGAGGGAAATTTTCTTAACAAATTTAAAAAAAGAAGTGTTGATAATAGAGCGAGCATTTTAATGCTATTTTCGTCCTTCCTTTTCATTCACACTTCATATTTAGTTATTTAAAATTTCCTATTTCCGTGTCATATAAACAAGGTTAAGAGGTCTTAAATTAATGTTTCCGTTGTCCTATATTTACTCTTATAAATATAATGATTATATTAACTGTTATCTTTATTTTTTCGCGCATGCGTGCTGCGTTACATTACTTGAATCATCCTCCAGACTGTCAGATCATTCATACTTGATTTGAATCGTTCTCGTTTCATTACACCCTCGCCTTTCTGCACTTATGTGTATATAAAATACTGTCCCACAAATATCATGACTAAGTCTACAAGAATTCTAAAACAATGTCTAATGTTGAAATAAGTGATAAACATATTTATTTACGTTCTGCTTTATTACTTTATGTGCATTTAAACAAAGTATTAGATTATTTTAAACTCAAATGTGAAGAAAGATTGCAACTTAAATTATTAAAACCAGTTTCTAATCCAATTCCTGAAACTAACGAGTGCTGGTGTCATTTGAAGAAACATTGTTGTGACCCCAGGAAGTCTCGAACCCACGATACCTGAGATGAGAGGCCGACACCTAAATAGTAGTCCCAAAGCTCTCTTAATATTGAAGTTGTAAAAAGTAGCCAATATCAATTATATTTCATTGTTTAATATAGGTAAGAACTTATAAATAGATAGCAGATATAATGAAAATGTTATTTACAAGTGCATAACACTACGTGTGATTAAAATAAATCAACAAAACCTTTGATTGTTGTTGTTCTTTTTCTTCTACTTCGTTAAATTCATTGAATATGATAATTCTTTCATTTACATTTCTTGTTAATGAGGCGTTGATGGTGTTTTTGGTACTAACTATGTATACTAGCGTATTAATTCAAGAGTCAACTACTTTATAACATCACCAAAAGCGTTTGTGTTGAGGCGACTCGTATATTTCATATATGTTTTAAATTTTTTTTTGTTCAAATGTACCCTTTTTAAATGCTGAATGATATATGGTTTTATTTTAGATCTACAATGCCCAGGACGTTGCTGGTTCCAAACAGACAGCGAGAGGGAGGTCTCCAAACATTATTTCAAAGTAATTGACGGCCTCAAACCATATACAAAATACAGGCAAGTAGAACCAGTTTTTTTTAGTTTATATACAAAGAGGCAAGAAGTATTAAGTCGTTAGTTCATGTACATTATACAGGCAAGTATAATTAATTCATGAGTTCCTATAAAAGATATAGGCATGTAGAATTAGTTCTTTAGTTCATATACAAGATACAGGCGAATATATTTAGTTCTTAAGTTCATATACAAGAAGTTCTTTGACAAGTAAATTAGCTTGTTAGTTCATATACAGACAAGTAGCATTAGTTCTATAGTTCATATACAATATACAGGGAAGTAAAATAAGTTCATGATACAATATACAAGGCAAGTAGAAACAGCAACACGAATTTGCACATATTTCATCCCGCCAATTAGTCCAAAATTGTAATTTCGCAAAAATTGTGCCTCGCGAAAATATATGATTTTACAGTAAATAAATTTACAGGAAAAAAGATAAACAAAAGTATCAAAGTGGTTTGACTTTCTACACTTACAAATTACCTATATATTATAAATATATGATAAAAAGCATTTACTTCTGAATTCCTAGTATCTTCTGGTACTAAAGATTTGTTGCATATTTTTATCAAGCTAGTCTTTTTTACTTCTATTTTTTTTCAAATAACGTAATACTAGTACTGGTATTTTCATATTCATATTCCTTATGACTGCAATGTTAAATGTCTTGTCATAAATGATTACCAGCAAGCATATTTTCATAATTTTATTTTAAGACTATTTCATAGTGTCATAAACCAGATAATGGCGATCCTAGCCGATTCAAACAATAAAATTGTAACAGGCATGAGTTTTACTAATAAAAAGCCCCAAGAGGAGAAATGAAAATATAATTTATGGCGGTGTCGCAGTGGGGGAAGGGGTATGAATATACTTATTTCAGCCCACTCTTTTGACACGGTGACATGTTTATGTAGCTATATATATGATAACTATACAATAAGCAAATTTACAGGATAGAAATTCAGATCTAAATGCAATCTTTAAAATCTCCTTTTAATATTGAAGTATTGGAAAATAATCCACAGGAAAAAAAGTCAATAGCTTTGTAATGATAACTTACAAAGATTGCAAAATATTTGCTACACAATAAATATTGATGCGTCAGATATGGCGGTTTTATTTGAAACTGATTTTACACACTCCTTTGATAATACCCTTTTAGATTGACATTCGGAAAAAAAGTCAAATGGAGACAAAATTAGTATAATGTAAATCATAACTCTTATATACAAACATAGAAAGTATTTTATCAAACACAATAGCAACATAACAGCAACAGCAACAACAACAACAACAACAGAACAGCAGCAACAACAACAACAGAACAGCAGTGTTAAAAACCGGTATCTTTGCTTAAGGGGTTGGTTCTTTTACTCAGACGTCTGCACAGGCTTGAAAAAATGCCAAAAAGGGTAACTCAGGTCTCCTTCCAGCAGGAACATTTGCCTTAGTTGTGAAGATAATTAAGTTGTTTTAACAGCTACTCTTTACAATTTAGTTCTTACAAAAGAGTTGAAATTTGCTTGTTTAGCGCGGTCAAAAGAAAACCGTTTGTCACACCAGACGCCCATTTACTTGAATATTTAGACAAATGGGTAAAACTTTAAATTCACTGGATAAAGCAGACGACGTTTTAGCAGACGACAATTTTCAAAGCATGTGCATAGTTTGCAACTTACATCATAACAAAATTGTTCTGTGTTTTTACAGGTTTGCCGTACAGTGCATAAGTGGCAAAGGCGCTAGCAGCATGTCTAAATCTGTTACAGTCCGTACATTAGAATCAGGTAGGAATAATTTCCGTAATGACGTGCTACATATATTGATTCTGATTCTTTCTTACTTATATGCGAGCCATATATATATATATATATATATATATATATATATATATATATATATATATATATATATATATATATATATATATATATATATATATATATATATATATATATATATATATATATATATATATATATATATATATATATATATTATTTGTAATAAAATAAGAACGGTAGGATATTATTCAAAATTAGAGTGCACTATATGCATCTTCAAGAAAACCTTAATATTTAGTAACAATTTTTGTCCTAACAAACCTGAAAATGAAGGTTAAAACCTGCAATTACGACAATGTTAAAACACAAGGCTGATTCGAATTAATGCAATTTGTGATCGAGAAAATCAAGAAGAAAATACTATGCGTACAAGGACATCAATCAAGTGCGATGCTTTAAAGTAACAGACTGCAACAAAGATTTTGCAATTTTTTAGTTCGTTTGTTCCATATAAGTAACCGATCTTCCAAAATGTTTTTTTTTCTAGTTACATTCACTAGATTAATACAAAGAAATTTATTGGCTTCCAGAACTGTTTCTGTATAATTTTTATAAGAATTCTGGGGAGATCTCCCTGAAGCAATAAATACAATAAAAATACATGAAAATTGCAGACTAGGATTGACCAACCAAGTCTGTTCACGAAAGATAGAAAAAAAGTGCAACCACTCTTGGCAACGGTGCCTACTGCGAGGAAAATAAATGGCATGGAACCTTGAAAAACAACAACAAAACCCCCGTTCTTTTTATGTCATATAATGAAGAAAAAACACCTCTTTGCACCGCCCACAGTAGTTAGTATTCAACACGCTTGATTCAAAACAAAGTTTAAAACAAGACTCAATCAATGCCCCTACATGCAAGAAAACAAATGGCAACACTAGTGAGATGTAACTGATGAAGAAATCAGAGTAATATTTTAAATACCTATTTAATTATCCAATTTTCCGCAATGCATAGTACTTTATTAAATAAAACACTTTTTTCAGTTCCAACGGGGGCACCTGATGTTAGGATAATACCGGACTCAAGTACGAGTTTTCGCGTTTCTTGGACTGAAATTCCGGAATCAGAACGGAATGGATGGATCAACAGGTATCAACTGAGTTACGGAACCAAAGACAAAATGATCACAGTCATACAACTCCCAGAAGACACTAAAAGCTACCTCGTTACAGGTTAGGGTGCCGGCATTTGTTAAAAAAAAAATTCTCATTTTATTTTTGAATAGATATTGAAATCATTATGAAACAAGTAAAACTAATCCGTCATAATTAAAATATTAAATATGGGTTTTCGTGAAAATGGTGTTTATTCAAGTAGGGCATTGCCTGTACAAAATAACTGACAAATTTACGTATCACCACTTATTATTTTTTGTATCTTGTTTATGTGCTTAATCTACAGCAGACTTGACTGATATGCTATAGATTGCCTACATATGGATTGTCCCGATATTGGTTGTTCCAGTACGGATGGTACCGGTTTAATGGTCCCGATATCCCTTGTCCCGATATAAATTGTCCCAATATGGATTGTCTCGGTATAGATTGTCCCACATGGATTTTCCCGATATGGGTGTATCTAAATACATATCATATCATGGTTGTACAATCTGATCGTATCTTCTTAAATACCAGTAATAACTCAGTTGTTATAAGATGCCTTACAAGGATATACAAAGGAATAACATTGTGTCTAAAGAAACAAGTACTTGAATGACTTATAATAAATTGATATTTTAACCCTTAACATTATGCTTTATGTTTTTCTGGTAATATTTTTGACAGAGTTGAGAACTATTTAAGATACATTGATCTTAATAAGACGGTACGTATATATGTAACTGTTCTTCTATCTTTGGCGCTCCCTTTTGAGATTCTTTGTCCCACATAATAATTCCGATCCTCTCACGTTCCTTTTCTGTTTAAACATATGGTACATTTGATAAATATGACAAATAATGTGCGAATATACGTCGTAAAATGAATTTCCAATAAAAATAAATAGAAAATTAAATGAATAGAACAGCTTTTTATGATAAAGCAGGAGCTGAATATATCTGTAATGGATTGCCTCTATATGGATTGTCCCGATTTTGATTGTTTCGGTACGGATGGTCCCGATGTGGGTTGTCCCGATATGAATTGTAGCGCAACCCCGCATGATAAAGCATTTCGCTAATATACGAAGATACATTTTCCAATACAATCTTGCAATTGATGTGATTTGTTCAAACCATTGCCCTATTATATTGCACTGAAAGGTCATTAATAGAACTGCTATATCACTATATCATTTGCAAATTCTTAGAATGCCAAACATTTCATTAAATGATTTATCATACACACAACGTCTCGGGCCATTCTTTTGGACAAGTGAAGAATTCCAAGCATTGCTTTCAATGATCTAGCATACGTAAAGCATCCCCGTGCACTTAAAAATGTGAAGAATTCCAAGCGTTCAATGACACGGCATAAAGGCTATGTCATCACCGTGCATTTAGAAACAGTAGAATACAAACCTTGACCTTTAAGTTTTTAGCACTCACTATATCATTGCGCATGTAGGAATTTGAATGAAAAAAATACTAGCATTTACTTCTATGACCTTCAAAAGAACCACCTGGAAACTTTCATTTTCGTCTAGACACGTAAAACAAAATCCAACCTTCACAACTAATCGCATAACCCCACAAATGCTTCTTGCACACGAGTTTATAACGAAATCAAAGTCAATTTAAATAAAGGTGCATTTCCTGACAAATCAATGTCATACGTTATCCTTCCCGGTCACTGAAATTTTAGATGTTCGTTTCATTTCCTCCTTAAACCTCAACAAAAAAAACCCCACACACACTCAGTTTTCCTGACGCAAACTATTCACGCCGTAGCATTGCTTCACCTTAAGACAGCGCTCAATTTTAGGAGCGACAAGAAAAATGTTGCACTGTGTGACCAAGGACGATTAAATGATACACAGTGTCACCGAATTAATACTGATATTGAAATTTAATGTTTTATTTATTGTTGCTTTTTTCCAAACAAACACGATCTCATATGAATGTCGTAATATTTCTTGAACATTGTTTAACCTATCAAATAAAACAAGAAGCCAGACTGTAAGACAAAGAATTGTTTTTGCGTGTTTTCTGCAAAATGGCAGAAATAAAACTTTAGCGGAAGAAACTAACACAGTGTTAAGCTGGATGTTCAAATCATATACGCATACAGCGTTTATTTTTTTTAAGGAATAATGCAGGGTCTCATATCATTATAGCTGTCAGCATGTTGTTTCGACAGTAACGTAAAATATGGCTTTTGTAAAATATATTAAATTTTCTGTCGGGTTGAACAACTCTAAATATGTCCAACACAAGTAGTACAAGTGCCCTCTCAGGATAAATTAAAGTTATATTAAATGTTATGCCACACCCGCTGACACAAACAAAACATGTAATGTATAATAGTTATATAGTTATAAATAATTTGTTGCATATGTTTCAGGGCTTGAGTCCAACAGTGAATACGTGGTAAAAGTTCTTGCCGGAAACTCCCAAGGCTTTCCGGACATAGATAACTGGATATCATATCGTACACCTGTGTCTAATATAAATGGTAAGACGAGTGGTGGTAATTGGAGACTATTTAAGATTCATGTAAAACAAAACAATGTTTGTCATTTTCACCCAAGATTGTATGCAATATCTGGTTTTGCTTGTAAATTGCTATAAAAAACCAAACGCAAAAAAGAGGGGAAAACTATTTATGTATAAAAAAACAATGTTAGAAGAGTATTATTAAACAAAATTATTGTATGACACTTGAAGAAAATGTATTTAGATTCCAAGAAAAGTGCATAGATTCAAGATTCAAGTAAAAAAATACATAATATGTGCGATTAAAAACTGATTGTGCAGTATTTATCACCATATTTGTACACTTACCTGAACCATCATTTTTTTAATAAAATGTTTTAAAACCACTATTTGCATTTTCTAAAGAAAGAAAAAAATATTCGTTTTAGAGACATAATGTGCCTTTAAATGTTTTTCTAATTGACATTTAACCACCATTTTCTTGCAACAGCCGGATCAAAAACATCCACAGTCGTATAAAATCATTTGACCTTTCGTCAAATTCGAAGTATTTACTTTATTACCAAAGAGATATCTAGTAAAAATAGTCCATTGCATGACTTTAAATTGGTTTGTTTTCTTTTTACCTATTTCTTCAGAATCAACAGTTCCCTCATTGACTTTTGAACCTTTAAACTCGTCGGCAGTTTCAATCATATGGAAAAAAGATAGCAACTTTGTTGGAAGCTATAGGGTTGTTGTTCAGAAGTTGCTAGAAAGTGGACCTGTAAGGGAATTCAATATTACAGCAGATACTACACGTCTTGACGTGGCCGGGCTAGGTATGTTGGTCTTTTTTTTCTTCTTTAGTAATTTCTTCATATCTTAACCAGTGATTACACGGATGCAGTATCTGACATTCATATATCCCTTAAATATTACTTGGATGGCACAGTTCTTTATATCTTGCATCCAATTGGATGCAGAAAAAAATGTAATAGTGGCTTCATAAAAATTGCTTCCTTGCAGTACAGTAGTAAATGTTTTACTACATGTAAGTCATGTATTAATTAGATGATGGTTTTTGTAAGAGTTAAAATGGTTGGACCAGATGTTGGACATCTTGCATTAATGCCTGAACCAACTTGACCCCTGTATATTGAAAGTGATGTAAATCCCAGATCTTAACTAAGTGGAATTTTATGACGGTTACCTATCATGTAAATGAATTTTGACGAAGTCCGTCTGAGAACGGTTTGACTTCCTGTAAAATTTACAAGGAAGAACTGAATATAAGAAGGATTTTCATTGGTCATTTTAAAATTGCAAACTGAAATCCGAGAATATCATTGGCCATTCTAAAATTAGTATTATAATCTAAAGGATCATTCTGAAACGTATACATGTCCAAATTATATATAAAAGTATAAATAATCTAAAGGAGTATCGGAAACACAGTTTCTTGTTAATTTTCTCGGATATTTGAGATCCCCCCTAAAAAAACACACAAAAAAAAAACAAAACATGTGCAAACTGAAAGCCACCATGCAAGTAAAAGCAGTTTTAACTCGTCCGAGTATATTTTTAATGATACTTCTTGTTAAGTAGTATCAATATGAGTTGCGGTTGTACTTTCAAATCTAAGCTTCTCAGAGGTTCTAACAATTCTAGTTCTAAGGTGATGGAACATTGCCCCTATGAACTTGTGGATCTATATATGTTACAAAATCATAAAACTCATCTACAGGTTTGCGGTTGAAAAGCAATAGACTTTCCTAATAAAACATGTAATAAACTACCCTCGACAAATTTAACTTCCGTTTTAATATGTTCTTAAATTCTATTGTGAGAATTGACGAGACGAACGTGTGCAAGAAGAAAGTCAAATATGACAAAATGGAACATAATTAATTTAAAAAAAGACGCAAAAAGTAAAACATGATTTTATATTCTAGCATTAAATTTCATGTACAAATGTAATCCTTTATTGTGAAGTAATCTTTTTTAAGTCACAAATATTTCTTCTCTTTTTTTGTAACCACAGTAGAAGTGTTAAGACATGTATTATTTTTCAGGAAAAGTTATAAATCTTATGTTAATATAAACATATTTTTTATTTTAATATAGAGCATAAAGTCTTCTATAAGATTGACTTCATGAAAAGAGATGAGAGGAACGTGGTGAGGGGCTATGTGACGGAGTTGTATCAGTGTGTTGGACACGAAGGTGAAATGGAGCCCCCGCCCCCATATATTATTAACCCAGAATCACGCTCGTCGTCAATTATAAATTTATCGTGGGAGAAGCCAAAAACGAGGCTAAATATAGTAAAGTACACTGTCAAGTTCCAGAGGAAGGATGAAACTGTCCTGGACAATCTACCAGTAGAAATAGACAGGTGTGTTATAATGGGGGAGGGTTAAATATGGTTAGGCCCGCCTACTTCAGTGAGTAAATCCATTATAGCCTTGTGATAATTCGGAATATTTCGGTACATTCCGTCCGTGACAAGGCTTTAAGGCTTTTGCTTTTTTTGTACTACACAGCTGGTATTGTAGATATAATAAAACACATTTTGGCACAATGTACTCGTACATTTATAAATGTCAAATATTGATTGCTTATTTTCATGAAAACAGACTCTTTTTGGAATACAAATTTATGGTACAATACAAATGACAAAAGGTTTTAAACCAAAACACTACGAGGCAATTTTAATATATTGATTAAAATTTGGATTATCTTTTAAAAGCATTATTCAAATATAATTAACATTTGAACATTTGAAGTAAGGAAATATTTTTAAATAAAGTACAAATTTTTATAAGGATCAAGATCCTGAAAGTACATCGAATCAAAGGCTAAACATTTATAAATATTGACACTAAAACTGAGACAGGTGGCAGTAATTAATGTATGGTTTGGTTAGATGAAATGTCTTGATAGATCAAGTATATCAGTTCATCTTTTGATAATTCCGGGTTATACCGGAGATGTCGTTCATCGTTGAAAATCAGATAATTTTACATAAAATAAGGTAACATGATATTTCTGAAAAAATATAGTTTTTAGGGTTTATTTATCAGCAATACAACAATTTATTTTACGTAAATTTGCACTATTATATTTCATATCCTGGTAAGTAACATTTTCAGAGTGTTTCACAGAACTGCACCTTGCTCAAACCGCCAATGCCGTTCACTAAAAAAAACAACATGATATTTCAGGAAAAAAATAATTGTCAATGCCGTTTACTGAAAATTAAGATAGTTTTTCAATTTTCTGTCATTGCTTTTGAAATGTGTTAAGTAAATGGTTAAGCTGTGTATAAATTTAACTACGTTATGGAACTAACATGATTGAAAATTGATTAAATTAATAAGTATCTTTAAAGCAAAACATTACAATGTTATATCTGAAACTGATTATTATTTGCCCTACTTTTATGTCCAATAGGAAGGCCTAAATTTGAACATAACTGACATAAACTGTCTTTAAACACTGCGCGTGTCTACGAAAAGTAGGTCAACGATAAGGTTATGAATAGTTTATAAAAATTTATTGCCTGTGCGAGGTAGATTGTCAGAAAGTTTCGAATTAGTGCGTTCTCATTGGATGAAAAAGTAGGGCAAAGAGTCTATTACTTAGACTTCCGGTCTGACGCAGACTTCCGGTCTAACGCTTTACTGTTGACGCAAGGTAAATCTTTAGAAAATGGAACGAAAAGGAATGGAGTGCAGGTTTTCTTTTTCCTTGTCTTTTTGTTTTATTGCGACAGTTTTCTTAAACGATTGCAAATCATTATTATTAATGTGTAAACAGCTTTCAAGGGTCATACAAAATATGTACATGAAAGTATTTAAATGAATATGCGCATAGCATCTGTCACTTAAAACTTGATTTAGACGATTCTCAAATTCTTCATTGCGCATATGATATGTCACCTTAAAAATGAGTTATATGATCACTGAATTCTTCATTAACAACTGTGTCTACCATTCCATTATTACATAGACACCTTGAACCCTTACCACCCTAAATATCTTAAATGAACACTCTGGACAAAACCATCGATCATTTTAGGGGAAATTTTCGAAATATGTACTGACTGAATAGTGAACAGTGAAAACCATGACCAAACGGCACAGATGCATTGTTAGAATACGTTGCTGATAGCAGGCTAAATGTCAATCGTATAATTATCTTTGAAAAATGACATTGTTATTAAATTATTCAGTACAAAAACCATTTGATGGTTCTTTAAAGCTATGCGGATATACTTATGGATTTTTGTGTAGATGAGAAATAAATTGAAAATCGTATTTAAAAGCCATTTTTAGCCCGATTTGAGTGAAAACGTTTTTGAAATGCTTTTCAATTTTATGGACATATTTCACAATTAGAATATTTTCTTTCTGAAAAAAAAGTTATCTGTAATTTTGCACATAAGTTATTTGTCTAGACCTACATCAAATGCGACATTAACCTCGAAAAAATAATTTACAGTCTCGTCGTGTTAAAACAACTCGGTTGAGTCCCTTTAATGCTTTCTTTACATACATGTATTTAGCAAGAACTATGTAATGCGATACTATTCAGTTGTGATAACCGATGCTATATATTATAAAACTACTGCTGTTTTACTATATTTATTTACAAATAAACCATTTAGTGTTTAGAAGGTAACCTTTTTTAACTTTTTTTTTGTGTCAATTTCAGTTTTACCACCTATATAACATTGGACAAGTTGCAACCGTTCTCCTGGTATGCCGTGGCTGTCCAGTCACATACAACTTCTGCTGATGGACCCTTCTCCAAACCCGTCATTGTTCAGACTAAAGAAGGAAGTAAGTTTTAAACAACTACTACAAAAAAACCAGAGACATAAATATAATGTTATCTACATCTGTGAAAAAACATACTAAAACCAGTTGACAAATTTTAAATCATGATAAAAGCAGTACGAAGGCAACGGTTCTTCAAATTCAGAGAGACATTTCAACACTAAATGAGTAAACCTCGAAATTAACTTGAGTTGTAAATATATAAAACTTTTATGAAATTTTGCGAAAAGGGAGAGAGTTCAAAGAAAAACGTATTTGTTTTCATTTAATGAAAACTCGTATTGGATACTATGTTGCATGGGTTTACATCTTTGAACATATTATGTTCTTTATCTTATAAAAAGTTCGTGCGTGGCCGAGTAGTTAAGGTCATTGACTTCAAACCTCTTGCCTCTCACCGCTGTAGGTTCGAGCCGCTTCGAATTCTAACATACGAGGAAGCTATCGGAAGCTTACGGAACGTCGGTGGTTCTTCTCAGTTGCCCGTTTATACCTGAAATAATGCAAAAAGGGCACCTGAAATTTCCGTCCGCCATTAAAGCTGAAACGTGCCATATGACCTAAACTTTTTTTTTTCGAAAAAGAATTCAACCAAAAAAATCTTATAAGAACAAAACTTTTATGAAACAGAGCATACATCTTTTAAATTTCCTCTTATGCCAATTAATGAACCGCTTAAGCTGTATAATCCGATTCAACTTTTGCATAAATTAACATGTAATTATAATAACATTTCTTTTACAGTTCCCTCCCCTCCCGAGATATTGCGTGCTGAGGTTGTCTCCCCTGGAACGGTGAAGCTAAAATGGGGACCTCCTAAACAACAAAATGGCATTATAACATCTTATATAATTTATTATAATTCAAAGAATGACGTCCCTGATGTAGCGTGGTCTTTTATACACCAAAATGGTAAGAGTACTGTTTATTTATAAACATTTTGTGAAAAGAAATCATATCTGAAAATAAGTCTTTTATGTCCTTTTCTATCTTTTGTTTAATAAATGCAATCCTATCATATGTATATTATATAAACGTCTTTTTTCATAACCCTTGTAATTATACACTTTAATAATTTCTTTAAAATTATGAATAGTTCATGATATTAAAATATCTCCTTCTTCATAGTATATTATATTATAAAGACATGTACGATTTTTATTTTGTATTTTCTTGGGGCGAAACTAACTTGTGTGAATAACAATAATTTTTTCCATAGCATCACACACATCTCTGGTACTTGAGGATCTGAAGAACGAGGTCTATTACTTTAAATTGAGGGCGTGTACTAACGCAGGGGCGGGGAATACGTCACGTGTCATTATGATTGACACTCTTGATTGTAACAGTTGCCCGAAGTGTAAAGATTCCGATTCTTGCCCAGGTAAGAACGAGGTCTGTTTTTTCCATAGTTTCACACAGATATTTGGTATCTGAGGACCTAAAGAATGAGGTCTATTACTTTAAATTGAGGTCGTGTACTAACGCAGGGGCGGGGAATACGTCACGTGTCATTATGATTGACACTCTTGATTGTAACAGTTGCCCGAAGTGTAAAGATTCCGATTCTTGCCCAGGTAAGAACGAGGTCTGTTTTTTCCATAGTTTCACACAGATATTTGGTATCTGAGGACCTAAAGAATGAGGTCTATTACTTTAAATTGAGGTCGTGTACTAACGCAGGGGCGGGGAATACGTCACGTGTCATTATGATTGACACTCTTGATTGTAACAGTTGCCCGAAGTGTAAAGATTCCGATTCTTGCCCAGGTAAGAACGAGGTCTGTTTTTTCCATAGTTTCACACAGATATTTGGTATCTGAGGACCTAAAGAACGAGGTCCATTATTTTAAATTAAAGGGCGTGTACTAATGCAGGACATGGGAGGGGATACGTCACGTGTCATTATGATTGATAGTTGCTTGAAGAGTCAAGATTCATCACGTACTCATCAAAGTTTACATTATTTCGTAGCAAAGTTTCATACAATGATATAAATACATCATTTGATTGTATTAATACGATAACAATGGAGAATGAAAGGAAATAATGTAATGTTACCAGCAAGTTAACATTTTTTTTTATAAATGAGTCTAAAGATTCGGTTGATTTAATAGACAGGAATGATTTTAAGAAAATATGAATGCTAGAGGCATTTAATACATGTAATAGTACAAGTAATATCTTGAGTGTTTTAACCTAATATGGGTATGCTGAAGACGATGAGGGTGGATACCAAGAAAAAAAAAATTGACATTGACCTTCAAAAGGTCAATTCAAAATGCCCGCTTAAAAATACTAAAATAGGTCATTAAAACTATGATACAATATGATGCAATTAATTATTCTTGTCAAAATCAAATGATTATTCAATATGACCAGATTTTAATGAGATTGGCCACCAAATATAACGATTATAAGCCAAATGGCTCAATTAACAGTTATATACAGTACTGTTTTACTAGCTAGTTAATTTATATGGCTTAGATTGAAAAAAATCACTTTAAATTTATGTTTTGTTAACTTGACTTATATTTAACAATAAACTCAGTTTTAAATCCGTCTTTATATGTATTACCAAAGAATAAATATTTCGTAATAACAAATTAGTATTTCGTAATTACGGAATAATATTTCGTAATAACGAATCAATATTTCGTAATTTAGATTTTATATTTCGTTAAAACGAAATAATATTTCTAATTGGGAATTATTATCTCGTAAAAACGAATTCGATTCCGGGAGAAAGTGTGGAAAATGTCACTTCAGATGTTCCGTAATTTTCAACATTATATGTAGCTATGTTTTTTTAAGTTGTTCATTTTGTTTTCATATATTTTGCACTTATAATGGTATTTATTGTTTGAAATTAATATCAAAATATTATTTTGAAATATCACCAAATGTCATTTCAATGCCATAAATACAACACAAACCGAGACAAAAAGTGTTTTAAAATATATACTGCAACCACACACCCCCCCCCCAAAAAAAAAAAAAAAATAATAAAAAAAAATAGGTCTTTAAAAAAGGCAACAGTAGGAATCGAACCATAGACCTCTCACACATCAGTCAATCACTTTACTTTTCTCTAGAAACTAACTAAAAACATAATTGCACGTATTTAAAAAAAAATGAATTAAGGCAGTACACAATTCTAAGAATATAAGCTTGTATTATGTTTATCCTACTTAAAACATTATCAGGATCAAAAACTCCTTTTGTAACCCAAATATCTACGACATTATGGCTCTATCTCAATCTATGAAAGTTGTTTTCTGTCTATTTTCTGTACCTGTTGAGCAAACTAGGTAAAAAATATCCAACTTACAAATTTACAAATCCTACTTTTTAAATGGTTACAACAACATTTCTGTCCCATTCTTTTATAAAATGTGTCACTTGCTGAAATGTTGAAATTAATAAAGAGCCGTTTTCAGCACATTGTGAACATTACACATGTATGCTGCATTTTGTGTGTTGTTTTGTTTGTATTTGCTGTTTTCTGCCGAAAATAATATCTGCATAATTCATTTATACCTGCATTAAGGTATACGATGGATAATCGATAATATTAAAAAGTCATCTTAAACTTAGAAGTGTATACTTTATCACATTCTCAACGAAAATACAGAAAACAACAAATGTTTACCATCTTGTTTAAAAATAAGTGGCGATTTAATTTGAAATTTAAAGTTAAAGCAAAAACAACAACAACAACAACAATAATAACAACAGCATATTTTCATCAAGTCATAAAATGTCTGAAACCGGGAGATTGCTACGTGTGCTTGCTTTACCATGGCAGCTCTCGAAAATTTTGGAATTCAGTCATGATTTTGAGAAAATTCTACATCATTTGATGTACATTAGAATTCCGGGTACCCTCGAATAAATTTCCAGGATATCTTAAAGTTACAGCAAAGTTATCTATAAAAATATTACTTGTAATAAATCGAGTAATATTTTCTTTGACCATCTATAAAGTCACGTGGGTTGGCTACATAATAGAGGTGTTAAAATATAATTGTAATACACCCTTTGTGATCCATTGAAATAGTATTTAATGTATAAAGGACTTTCAAAAATGGTTATTATTCAGAGCGGGCGCTATGGTGCAGTGGTAACACTGTCTGCCTACAAATCAAGGGGTTCGTGAGTTCGATCCCCCGCTACTCCACTGACCGAATAAACGACTACAAGACTGACAAAACCAGGACATCGACACAGAATGACGGCAACGATAGATACAAGAGAAGACCTTAACGGATCAGGAAACAAGTACCGAAAGTACAAGACCGAAGACGACGACCGATAACAGAAGGAAGAACGGAGACAAGAACTGACAACGAGCGAACAGACAAGGACCGCTAACAGAAGAACAGAGACGAGGACCGATAACAGAAACAACGCACAGATAATAACCGCTTACAGAAGAACAGAGACAGGGATCGATAACAGAAGAACTGACAACAAACGAACAGACAATAACCGATAACAGAAGCACAAAGACAGTGACCGTGACAGTGACACTGACAACGAACAGACAATAACCGATAACAGAAGAACAGAGACACAGACCGATAACAGAAGAACTGACGACAAACAAACAGACAATAATCGATAACAGAAGAACAGAGACACTGACCGATAACAAACGAACAGACAATAACAGCTTACAGAAGAACAAAAAGGGATCGAATAACAGAAAAACTGAAACCCAAAGAACAGGACAATAACCGCTTTACAGTTAAACAAAAACAGGGGACCGATCACAGAAGAAACGGCAACAAACAAAAAGAACGCCCCCGAGAACGCGGCCCCATCGACCATAACAGAAAAAAACAGGACAGGAACCATACAGAAAAATGACAAACAGAAGACAGGACCGATAAACCAGAAAAAACTGAAAACAAATGGCGAACATTTAAAACAGGACAGGGACCATTTAAACAAAAGAACTGACAACACATACAACTCGAAGCAAAAAGGACCGCTAACAGGAAAAACAGAACCAGGGACCGATAACAGAAGAACCAGACAATAACCGATCTAACACGCGTCTCAGAAATAACAAAGACAGGACCATAACAGAAGAACTGAATCCACCCAAAACAGAACAGGAGACACACTCAGAACTGCAACAACGCCAAATCGGAACAGACGAAGATTTATAAAGAAAAAATAACGAGACGCAGGCCCGATACGATAACAGAGACGGCGAACCGAGGACAGAATAATTGACAACAAACCCGAGGACCCGAAACAGAACATCTGACAACAAAAAGAACTGAGACCATGACAGTTACAGAAGAATGAAGATCCACTACCCAATAACAGAAGAAACTCATAACAAAAGAACTGCGACGCAAAGGACCAAATAACAGAAGAACGAAGGAACGACGACCGACGACTCAATAACAGGAAAAATGAAACACCAAACATCCAATAGTAATCAAGAGAAGGATGCCTTTAATAGGAATCTGAGTAGCCACCCTATATGCTTGCATAGAGTGCCAGATAAAATACATGAAAGCTCTATATCTAGTGTAATGTTCGCTGCATAAATGCCTTAAAATTTTCTTTAATTTTATTTGTTACTATTATATTGGCCTATAGAAAATGTTCGCCATCTTGGATTTTTCGGCAATATCAAATTATTTTGTTTAATTCTGTTTTGGTGTCTAATTTGTTTTTACCTGAACATGATGTGACAAATTTCAGGCTTTCCTTAAAAGTTTTATTTGCTATATCATCCATTTATGATAAAGAAATTTGGCGGCCATTTTAGTGGTCAATTTAAATGGCCATTTCAATGGTCAAGATCAAGTTTTTCAGTTTGGTATCCACCTTTATCGGATTCAGCATACCTTAAATAGGTAAAATACACCAAGATACCACTTATACTACAAAATGCCTCTAGCATCTTATAGAGAGCCAAATTCTCAAAATCAGATCTGTCTATAATTCCCTGCGCGATACATGACGTACCTCTTGATTTTTAAAGTTGTTCCCATTTTCGCCCAGGTTAAGTCATGCATACCTAGTCAGTTTTTGTAAAACTCGTTTAAATTTGAAATAATTTAGTACTGAAATGAAATCAGCTCAGTAAAAGATGAACTTGTTATTAAGGCAAAGTATCTTTTCACATTGAGTATCATATATCCCTGTTTAAAATGGCCTTGAATCCTTGGTTATTTTACTTTAGAAACACCAGTAAGGTGCGAACCGTTGTTTCCTTGAGCAAGAAACTTTACACTCATTACTCAGATCTGGTTGGTTCAAGTAACAGATTTGAGAGTGTTCAAGTAACAGATTTGAGAGTGTCTCTATAAGCTTTGAGAGTGTCTCTATAAGCTATGTGCTTCCTTCTCAACCGAGCTAAAACAAATTCTGCATAAACCAAACGATAGAAGGCATATGAGGTCTTCCTTCGCCAGTAAAGTTAGAGTCGTCCATATGACCTTAACTGTGTTGGTGCAACGTAAAAACCATTAAAGTTTAAAAAGATTGTGCGGTTGATTAATTTTGATGATACATTTTTGCCAAAAGTATTTTTCAAATATTTTTTTTAAAAACGAAGTCTACTACTTTATAAGGATAGAGTCTATTTCAAAGCGTTTTCAAAAGAAAAAAGGCATTTAACGAGAAATTTCATTAATAAAAAAAATATATTATAATTATAAATACAATATAAAATAAGAGCTTCTTTGTATAATACTTAATATATATGAATAAATTCTGGCAAGGAAGTACATATATATTTACTCTTACATTTAGTTTCTGTTTTAGTGTAAACATTATTTATTTTAAAAAAAAGCTCCACAGAGGTCCTTACGCCTAAAATGGTAAAAGTTGAAAATCTTACATAGATGAACTGGGGCACTTTAAACAGAACGTGAAAATTATAACGAAGAAATATATAACTCAGTAGTAAAGGAAATTTATAGAATATTGATGCAAGCTTCAAGTCCGCTTTGAACTTACCAAAACTGGTAATAAAAGTAAAATTTACGATTTTTAGGAGTTGAAGGACAGAGAATTTAACCACAAGGCTAAGTACCTCTTCTGTTTCTATGATATATACGTGTCGTTTGATTGTATATCAGGAAACAAAATCAATAAACGTAACTGCAAGGCTGATTAGCCCTTTTGTTTCTATGATATCTACGTGCCGATTTGTTGTATATCAGGAAACAAAATCAATTAACCAGCCAATATGTATGTTATATTTCAGAGGAAGAAGGCGATAGTAAACGAAGTGTGTTTGAACAGCGCCTGGGCATCATAATCGGGTGTGCTGTTGGCTTGGTCTGCATAGTCATCTGTATTACTTTTGTTATCTTCAAACAAAGGTACTCACTCTATTTTATAGACACATTAAACATATGAGCCGCGTCACGACAAAACCAACATAATGGGTTTGCGACCAGCATGGATCCAGACCAGCCTGCGCATCCGCGCAGTCTGATCAGGATCCATGCTGTTCGCTTACAAACCCTATTACAAGTATCGGGGGGAAAAAGAAATGAAAAAAGCTACCAAATATTTTGTGGGGTTGAACTGAAGCGTTAAGATTATTGGCTACATTAGGTTTGCCATTTTGAACTTTTAAGTCCCTTACTATTTTTTGACACTTTTTGACGACTTTGCCGTTTTAGGATCGTATTCTGGCCTTAAGAAACCACGTGGGGAAAAACAGTGTTTGTTCTCGCTCTATTAAACCGTTTAAAATAATTCTATATCCATAACAAATTATGAAATATACAATAATTCTGTACCTATAGGGAAATGAGGTCAAGATACCAAAACCGGCCACGGACTGAGCTAGCCTGCCGGTTCAATCCTGCTGAGCAGCCAGGACGTTACCTTGGCAACGCAGATACAAGTCGCCTCCAGCACCATTCAACATATTCACCTATGTTGAGACGGATGCTGGAAAACACTGATTATACTTACAAGGTGAACACATATTTTGATATCTAACACAAGAGGTTTTCATTTTTATAAAATGATAAAATAGCATAAATATCCCATATTACGAGTTTAAAAGAATTTCTGCCTTTTCTGAAGTAGATAGCTTTCACATCAACATAAATGATACATATTAAACAGGCAATCGGAATATCTTGGCTATTATCAATATTAAGTTTGACGGAAAGGGCCGAGAGGATCCGATTGGTAAAACAGGGCCAATGCGAGATGGTCAGAGCCAATACATAGTTTTTATCATATTTTAGTTCACTCCAAAGCTTGGTAACAAAGGTAGACAAAATATCAAAGGACATATATTTACAATAATCAAAATGCCCCAAGGGGCGATCTTTATTTTTACGTGTAATAAAATAAGGTGTATTGTGCAAAAAGAAAAACTTACTCGATACTACTGTTAAATGGTTCATGCAGCTTAAATGTAGACCTTTCAAATTACAGCACACTGTACAGCTACGTGTTCGATTAACATTTCCGATCCTAATTAAAACCATTATTCTTCTTTTCTTTAATTTGCTACAGGCTGGAAACGAGCAACGCGCTTTACTGTCTCCCAGCTCAACCGGAAGTGTAAATAATCCGACGGTGAGTACCAGTAATACGGAGTCATGTGACACCACACCATGCAGTAGTGACTTTGACATTGTTTATCATCCGATAAAGAACGGTGAGCTACCGGAGAAGGAACCGATGATGAAAGGGAGCAAAGACATTGACCTTCGCGTTGTCATTGCCCCTAGTGACGATTGCTTTATGGACAGTAGAAAGAGTGTTGAAGACCCGGTTAATTCAGAAGCTGATTCGCTGAATGCTTCAGGCATTGTTGAAAATGATGAAAATGGCAACTTAGGCGAAGAAAATCATTTCAAATAAACTTTCAGCTGTATTTTTTTTATTTTTCTTAATTGTTTCCTCGTGTATACGCCAAAGTCAATTTGACAACCGTCAGAAGTCTTCTTTGTCAACAGTCTTGCCAACAGTCTAACATTTGATTTTAATGGTCTGCTAATGGATTTAATTTTTAAATTGATTTAAATTTAAAATTAAAATCTATAATTTGTACCTATAAATTCATATTTTATTGCCAGTAGGCAAGACGGTGAGCTTTAGAAATGTTTATATTTCGAAGAAGAAATGATATTTTTCTTACCATTTGACTTCAAACGGTTTTGACTGAGGCGCATAACTAGAGGGGAAAAGTATCATAATTAACACAGTGACATGCCAGCACCGAACAAGCGTTTTCTCTGTTCTGTTTTCGAGACTTTTAACTACCTCAGACATATGTTTCACAGGGATTCAACCTCAAGTGTGCTTTTTGAAAAGGCGGAGCGCTGCCACTCGTTCAGGGCATAGATTAATTTGGCATCAGTTTCAAATAGTTTCAGGGAAAACAAATTTTTATTTGCATTTTGTGCTTTGATAATTGGTGAACATTTGACACAAGACGTTTACCTCGATTAACCCTTAGCCTGCTGGCGGCAACTGAATCTAACCACGTGACCAGTGCAGACGAAGATCATGCCGTGTGGCACCTACGTGCGCGTTTGTTCTTAGTCTGCACTGTTTGCTTCATCAGTCAGTATATATTTAGATTTTTTTCCTAAAATGAGGAATGGTTTCGTCCAGATTGAAAGACGGACGAGTCCATTTAGGATATTTAGGGTGGTAAGGGAAGGGTTATGTAAAGTTCATTGCTCTTTATCAGAGAGTGTTTTTATTCTCACATATTACAAATCACATAATTTAAATATTTGAGCTGTAAATAGCCCCTTTTTTTCTGTAAGATTACTATTTGGTAACCGTTATCTTTAGCAAGCTTTTTCGAAATGTTCTTCCCCTTTTAATTGTAATTATATATTGAAAAACAAATAACATAATTCATTTCTTTGAGATAAATTTTCTGAAATGAATCTTTAAAGAGTATGACGGAAATTCAGGCATGTTCGCTGAAAGAGTTGATGTTGTCCACATGCTCTGCAAATGTACATGTTAAATAGTAAATGTCATATAAAATGGAAACATGTTTTAAAATTCAAATTTCAAAAAAATCACTCGTAATTTGGGATTTTATATTCAATTTAGATGTCACATGATTTTTGTAATTTTATATGGTTATTATACACCGACTTGCTCAAATGTAAAAAATAAATTCATGCATCATTTGCTCGTGAAATATCGGCATATTCCGTTACTTTCCGTGTCGTAAAAATAAATACACGATACGGAAATTGCCGTAGTTTGCCGAATTCATACGATCTGCTGATGAATTTATAACTATAAAACTATAACCTTATTGAACCTTTTTTTCAAACTGTTGATTTATTATCTTAAAGTTATTTGTGTTGAAGTTAACATTAGTTGATTATAATTATGGCATTGGCAACTTAATACATGTATTTAACGCATGTTTTCTGTGTAACTCATCGGCTGCTGTAAGCGTTTGTGCGTCTGGTCCATGTGACCTTGACCTTCAGGTTAGCCTGTTTGGCGGCAACTGAATCTACCTATGCGACCAGTGCAGACCAAGATCAGCCGTCGCGCTTGTGTCGTCTGATCATAATCTCCACTGTTCGCTAGTCAATCAGTACATGTTTTGAAATTTCCCCTAAAAATGATAAGTGGTTTTGTCCAGATTGGCAGATGGACAAGTTCATTTTTGATATTTAGCGTGGTTAAGGGTGAAACATATACATGTATAGGATATGTATTAAATGCCTGTTTATGTGATTTTTATATAAAAACCGAATTATTTTGGAAGTAACACTTTCTATCTACCAATAACTACATACATTTAGATTTTTTGAAAATTTTTACAGTTATAAATGTTTATGCTATTAGTAGAAAAAGTATCTTAAATAATTGTTAGGAAATATGTAAACATACTATTTAATAAATGTTTTAACCACGAACCCAACCCCGCACACTAAAATACGACTTGACAGCTTTTGTTTTCAAATATGATTATAAATATGAAGGATTTTACGGAAAATCTTGTTAGAGATTTTAGAAATTATATATGTTTACAGTTCATACATTAGAATACGCATAGGCCTATTATGTTTTAGCATATCATTTTTATACATTGTGTGTTTTAACGTTTCTATGTAATGTGTAACTCATACCATTTTATGTAATACGTGTAAGACTTTTTTTTTAGTTCAGTCAGTGTAATTGTATTGTAATGATTTTTTTTGTTCTAAAGTTATGAAAAAAATTATATGTCTCCTAATGATATGGCCAGATAATTAAAGGTCCTAAAGATTCGATTGTTTCTTTTATTTCCTATACTGTAAAACAAGAAATTTTCGCGAACGAATTACATTTCGTTAATTTCGCGAATTAAAGCTGTTTCGCGAACATAAAATGTTCGCTAAGTATCTAAGTAATATTAAAGTCAAATAGAACTGAACATGGAAATTCCTGTGTCTTTAACCTCGCCAGTATTTCCGAAATGTTGGAGTCACAAAAATTTGGCGAAAATTTGCGAAAATATAGTATTTTACAGTATATCCCTGAATAAAAGTCGTTTTTTTTCTGTTCTTTTTTTGTTTGTTTGTTTGCTGCAATAACCTCATAAATACACATTTGACTGTAGTCATGGCCGAAAAAATTTGAATACTGTTACATAAATTGTCCTTTACTTCAGGGTATCAGTCCATGCAAAAAAGTGCACAGGCTGACCGACTGTGAGACATTTGAACACTTATTATTACATTTTATGCTCGGCGGAGCAATATTTAAAATATTTCATACATGCACTTTATTTCCGATTTATCACAGTTTTGAAGTTATCACACTTTTTATGCCCCCACAGAGTGGGAGCATATAGCGTTGCACTTGTCCGTCCGAGTGTCCGTCCGTACGTCTGTCCGTCCGTCTGTCCGTACGTCCCGAAATCTTGTGAACGCAACTCCTCTTAAACCGGATGGCAGATTTTGCTTAAACTTCCAGGGATGAACAACCTTAATGTGTAGATGGTAGTAAAGGAAGGAATTTTTGCTGCGACCAAATTTAACAGAATTATGGCCCTTTGTTGATTTTTTCACTATATACTATGTAGAAATTTTGTGAACGCAACTCCTCTTAAACCGGATGGAAGATTTTGCTTAAACTTCCATGGATGAACAACCTTAATATGTAGATGGTAGTAAAGGAAGGAATTTTTGCTGCAACCAAATTTTACAGAATTATGGCCCTTTGTTGATTTTTTCACTATATACTATGTAGAAATTTTGTGAACGCAACTCCTCTTAAACCGGATGGCAGATTTTGCTTAAACTTCCAGGGATGAACAACCTTAATGTGTAGATGGTAGTAAAGGAAGGAATTTTTGCTGCGACCAAATTTAACAGAATTATGGCCCTTTGTTGATTTTTTCACTATATACTATGTAGAAATTTTGTGAACGCAACTCCTCTTAAACCGGATGGCAGATTTTGCTTAAACTTCCAGGGATGAACAACCTTAATGTGTAGATGGTAGTAAAGGAAGGAATTTTTGCTGCGACCAAATTTTACAGAATTATGGCCCTTTGTTGATTTTTTCACTATATACTAAGTAGAAATTTTGTGAACGCAACTCCTCTTAAACTGAATGGCAGATTTTGCTTAAACTTCCAGGGATGAACAACCTTAATGTGTAGATGGTAGTAAAGGAAGGAATTTTTGCTGCAACCAAATTTTACAGAATTATGGCCCTTTGCTGATTTTATCACTATATACTATGTAGAAGTTTTGTGAACGCAACTCCTCTTAAACCGGATGGCAGATTTTGCTTAAACTTCCAGGGATGAACAACCTTAATGTGTAGATGGTAGTAAAGGAAGGAATTTTTGCTGCGACCAAATTTAACAGTATTATGGCCCTTTGTTGATTTTTAGTTTTTAACTTGTGGCACATGTAGTCCAAAAAATATTTGACCTAGAGTCATAAGATTGACAGAACAGTGGCGTGTGGGGGCATCCGTGTCCTATGGACACATTTCTAGTTTTTTTAATAGAGATTAACAGAATATATTTACCATATATCACGATAGGGCACAGTTTAAAGAGTGTGTTATACTTTTGATAAAGCACTGTTTACGGATTACAATACTATATCTTCGATAAAGCACTATTTATGACGTCATGATATAGCACGTTTAAAGCGTTATTTTTTATATTCTATTAGAGATAAACCCAAGTATAAAAGTTTCCATACACTATCTTCAATGCAGCACAGTTCACAGGTCATCATATAAGATTTTAATTGATTTATTGCTAACAAAGAAAGTATTTAGTCAACAAAATTATTTGAATTACATTCATTGAAACCATGCTGTTTAACGTATTCGTGGCAACAAATAGAAAAAAATACGTGACTCAATAGAAAATAGCTGTTACATTAATCAATAGAAATGTACATGAATAAATAGAATCTCACGTTAAATAATAAAAATTCGAGTGGATCAATAGAAATTCGAATGAATTTAGAAGAAATTCTCATTAATCAAATAGAAATTCACGTAAACCAATAGATGTCAAGAAAAAAGTAGAAATTCATAAAGAAGCAACTAGGGTACTTACTAATATTGAAGTTACAGTGAAACCTCAGCAGATTGACACTCTATGGCAGACAGAAATTTCGGTTGCTCCTGAGAGGTGGTCCTCTAGAGAGGTTAAATTTATTGCGAATGCTTACTTTTAGAAGAAATAATACTTTTTGTTGCAAGTGGCCATTTCCCTTTAGGGGGACGATCTGCCGAGGTGATACTGTATTTCATTCTTTAAATCTTTTCCACGTCTTCCAAATAATATAAGACCTGCTTCAATCCTAAAACTGTTTTCCTTCTGGCAAATTGCAGACGTTTGTACCGATATGATATACAGTTCAAACTCTGTTAAACAATTACCTGCTTACAACAACCACATCTATGTCAATATCATTTCTGAGCACATCATTATTCTATGTATACAAATGAGCCGTGTCACGACAAAACCAACATAATGGGTTTGCGACCAGCATGGTTCCAGACCAGCCTGCGCATCCGCGCAGTCTGATCAGGAACCATGCTGTTCACTATCAGTTTCTCTACTTGTTATAGAGTTTGTAAGCGGACAGCATGGGTCCTGATCAGACTGCGAGTATGCGCAGGCTTGTCTGGATCCATGCTGGTCGCAAACGCACTATGTTGGTTTTGTCGTGACGCGGCTCAAATATTGTATTCATGTGTGTTTTATGAATAAAATTTTAGATGTTGACAGAAACTTCAATAAAAACGGTCATGCTATTTATACGCTGAAAAGATGCTTGTAGGATGACACCGGCTCCATCAGGGTTTTTAGCGGCGTGCCTCCAGATGTGTGTAAAAACAATTTAAAAAGAAAGTTTTGGGGGAAAAAATCATAATTTAAGAGTTTCTTCTTAAAGCACCATTCCGCCAGATTTATGCTCATTTTCATAGAAATTTTGCAAATGAAATAAAAAGTGAAATATTTTCAAGCGGACAAAGAAAGTAATTTACTCATTGCGAACGGCACTTTCAATACACAAAAATTACCAAATAAAGGTCAAAATATAACGAAAAAAAGCCCTTACTGCGTTAGTCACGCAGTAGAAATATTGAAATAAATACAGCAAAATCTGCCATTCTTTGTACATATAACATGTAAGTAAGTACTTGAATTGTGAATTGTTTTACTTTTAATAAAATCTTAGTACATTTTTGCTCAATCATGATTTTCATAAATTAATGCGGCTCATCTGGAGGCATGCAGCTTTCATTCTCAATCAAAGTATTTCGATTCTGTTGTGTAAAATATGACATATTTAACTTTTTTTAACCAAACTCTTCCCTGCTCCTTGTGAATAAAAGAAAATTTTATATAATTTATTTTGTCAATTGATAGGTTATTTCTGTGACTAGGTTAGGTTTAAAGTGGGTTGGTCTACAATGGGCACATTTTCCATGATTTTTTTTTACAAATGAGCCGTGTCATGACAAAACCAACATAATGGGTTTGCGACCAGCATGGATCCAGACCAGCCTGCGCATCCGTGCAGTCTGATCAGGATCCATGCTGTTCGCTATCAGTTTCTCTACTTGTTATACGGTTTGTTAGCGAACAGCATGGACCCTGATCAGACTGCGCGGATGCGCAAGCTGGTCTGGACCCATGCTGGTCGAAAACCCATTATGTTGGTTTTGTCATGGCGTGGCTCAAATATTGATAAACACAACATAAACGTATCACTTGGATATTCTTATAAAAAGTTGTTTGAAAAAAAAATATTGATATAGTTTTAATGCTTTAGGATGAAAAATAATATTTTGTTCTAGAACATTTTATTATCTACTATATAAATATATGTAATACTCGGAGCATATATCTCACACTTATCAACAACTTGAAAAATATAGTTCTTTGGTGATTTGTTGTTATGTAAATGTCAAGCGGTTAACTATACAATGTAGTTACTTTACGCGAAAACCGGATACTTATCTGATGATCACGTGGTTAACTAGTTAATTAACACATTAATTACTTATTACTTATCTATTTTCAAATATGGAAAGTGGAAAAATATTTAATACGTTAAACATGATCGCTATCTGATGGCACAGAAACGTCACCATACAAAATTGAGCAACAAATAGTTCCATCATTAAATTATTAAATAATTATTATTCATCATTCAAATGATATCATCCGAATATTAATTTGCCACGTGTATGATAAGTTTAAGTTTGATAGTTTAATTAGGTGTATGAATCTCAATGTTTATCATTATTTAGAATATCTAATGTCATTTTGTTGAGGCTGGATACCATTGAGGTTATTTTTAGAACTTTTAAAATGACATAAGTCAATAATGATTGTAAAAGCTTAAATCTTAAAGTGGATTAGTCTAAAATGTGCAAATTTTCAATAAATATTTCAAATATTGATAAAAACAATAGAAATGTATCATTTGAATCTAGTTCCAAGTGATTTAGCATGAGCATTTATATGAAGAAATAATATAATATTTTTGTTCCAGAACACTTTTAATCTGCTATTTATAGATATTTAATGTCCATACAACTTTTGCTTACCTACAACATTCATATATAATTATTTTATGGTTTTTGTATCAAATGATACCAAATAGTATCAACATAATTTTTTAAGGTATTGCAGATCTTCCGGTGTGGACCAATTCAGTTTAATTAGATGTTCAACAGTATTTTCTTCCTCAATGTAAAGTTCCAAATTAAAATCATAATAAAGACAGTATAGGACATATTTAATTTAAAGGCACATTATTCTTCAGAAATCTTTTTTTTTAAATTCTTTTGAAATATCAAACATTTGTTTAATAATGTTTCAATAATAGATTAAAAGCATGTGAAATGTTAATTAAATGAAGAAAGTTGCGCTGAATGTGCAGTAACGTGTCGTAAAGGTAGCAAAATGTAATCAAAGAAGTAATTTGACTTCCATTACAAGATACTAATTCACCATAATTATTTCAATTACTAACAGAGAAAAAGAAGTAAAAGATGGGTCATCTATTTTACCAATGAGAATTGTTTTGATACAATACTCTAAAAAATAAAAATGATAGCATTTCTGAGGCAGAATGGGCTTTTAATTATTTCTTTGCAAACGCGTATCTATGTTGCATTTTACTTGCCAAGGTCCATTTGTCTTTAGAATAAAAAAAACCCACAAAACAATTGTAAGGCACACGTGTTGGCCAATGAAACTCTAACTCATTATCATTAGGAGTTCGTTTCACCTAAAATACTTTTTTTGGTCATTAAATAAATATAAATTGCTAATTGTTTTACAATGTCACATTACATGTTATGGAAATCAATTTACAAAAGTGTTGGTATTCTTGGTGTTGTTCTAAATGTTGTGATTTACATACAATCTGTTCACCCTTTTTTTCAAATCACTATTTCAATTTGAATGGTTACAAAATGTTGTTTTTGTAAAATTATTTTTTGTTCAGTCACTTCCGGTGATCAGTCCTACAAAACGTTTCGGTCTTTATAGAAGAAAACAAAGTTTATATCATATATTTTTAGGTTGGGTATATATAAGTCAGGATAAAAAAATATTTAGGATTTTTTTTTTGTTGATAATGTTGTTCTTTGATCATTACCTAATAAAATTTTTTGCAATGTATGTTGTTGTTTTTCACAACTGCGTCCTTCATGTACTAATTTTCCTTGAAAGGGACACAAAAGAGGTCCAACGTCATAAACATAAAAGATCGACCGGAAAAAATATGCAAAAGATATTATTAGATATTCTCAATTCTTAGCTCAATTTTAGTTAAAATGCTATTTATGCGTGTTATTGACGGTGTTTTTGTGCTAGGGCAATAAGACGAAATTAAGTGATTAAGTGAATTTGGCTTATTGTTGTCTGTTAGAATTGCAACAAGGTCAAACATGCATATGGTACAAGTGTACAAGTCTAACAATATTTTAAGAATAAAGACAACGTCAAAGGGTTTGAACAGCACAATCTAATTAAAACCTCTAAATAACGCCCCGCATTTAGATCTAACCGTGACCAAATACCAAATCATTTCTGGTGACCTTTCACACAGCCAATCATCGGCGAGCTTTCATAATTTTGAAAGCGATGTGGTTTATAATTTCAACACTGGGAAAGCCAATACTGAGTAGGTAATTTTCACGATTTCGAGAATAAACATGGCGTTGTCCATTTATATTAGCCGACAGGGAAACTGGCAAAACAATCTTACCCAGTTAAAATTAACTATTATTTCAAGTTAGTTTGTTAAAAATTACTTCAAACATTTTTTCTAACAAAACGGTATTTTAATACTTCATCTAATGCCTATGTAAAAATCGGTTTGATTGCATGGATAAAAATAGAATCTCGGGAAATCCGAATTATAAAGAAAGAAAAACATATGCGGTGGTTATCAGATCTACATAAATGAAATAAGAAGATCTGAACTTTAATCAGATTGTGAACATTGTACAAATGTTCATACGAACGAAAATTGAAAAGTTCCAATATATATCCTATATAGTTACATACATAAAATAATGCTTCGCCCAGTTAAGAAAAGATTCAGATAGAGTACATCGGTATGCATTAACAATATGAATAGATGATGTGCATTTGTTAATATAAACATTATTGTCTAATATAAATCAGAAAGGAAGGTTAACTTCGTCAAAATCAATGAGTATGCGTAAGTTGCACTTTATTCCTGTAAAATGCGTTTAACAATGCTATTACAAAAGGAAAAAACGAAACAAAAACAATCGTTACATTTTTTTTTTATAAAATTAAACTTTGTCGCAGAAAAACTGAATATATGTCTGGATATGGTCCTCAATGACATCTGAAAAAGTTGACGAGCAGCGTGTTTCTGTTTTAAACTAAATGGTTTTCATACAAATATTGTATAGAATATTTTCTTTCGGGATATGAAGAATCAAACCAGTCATTTCTCTTCAATCCAACCGACTGAAATACTTTGTCCAATTCTCCCATATCAAAATCGTCTTCTGCCAACACAAGCAGACTTACAGCACCTTCCGTTTCCTTCCGGATATGACGTAGATGATACACCACGTGACTTCGCAGTGAAGAAACGTCTGTTCCAAATATATCCAGATTACTGGCAAAAGGTGGGTCCTTTGTGGCAAAGGTTGTACATATTGTTAAAAGTCCTTTTACCGTTTGTTCTTTACTCAAGGAAACATCAGAAAATATTTTCATCCGGTTTGGTGCCCATCGGAACAATGGCACGTTTGCTGGAATAGGGCGATAAGGAACCCAGTCCACTACGATCCTGTCTTTACGACACAAGTATGATCTGATGACGTCATTTGATAAGAATGCTGTTAACTCTTCATTGGTTGGGACAATAATCTCTTCTGTTTCTGATTCCAAAGACCGCAAGTCACGTGCATCAAACACAAACCGTACAAATGGCTAAAAAGGGAAACCAGAGTGGAAATATAAAGATAAGTGGCAAATAATATCTGTTCATTATATAATAAATTTAACTATGATTCAGTTTTGGAGTATAAAAGCAAAGACACTATAGGGACGGAACTGATTAATATCAAAATAATTCTACAAGCAATCGGCATAAAATCGAAGGACAGAATGATCAAAATATGTACATGCCATGTTTCAAGATCAATTATGTGAAAAAGAAGCTGAACTGATTTACAACAGAGCATTTTAGAATTTTCTTATCAACATATTAGCAATTCATTCTCTTGGATTAGTTGCCAGCTAAATATCCTTATGGCTTAATATTTTTACTAGCTATATTTAAGCATACCCTTTTTATCGGTTTCATTTTAGATTTCAAGAGGGGATTTAAAATATATCCTACCCTTGAAGTTATTAGTTGGTTCTTTGATATAAACGACTCTCTAGAAGTCTCTGGATTTGCGTCAACTTTTGTAAATGCATGTCGTTTTACATTTGAGGACTTCAGCGCATACGCTTTTAACGTCTTGTACAAACCACGCCCACTCATGCTAGGATTTATCCTTGCTGCTCTAGTAATCACAGTTTCCCCGTCATCAATGACTAGCGTCGCTATAAAACCAACCTGTTCATAATAAAATGAGCCGCGTCACGACAAATAGAGGATATTTATTTGTTTTGCATGTAAGATTGAAAAATATATTTACTGAGTGAACACCAGATGCAATATTTTCACGAGTGGCGTGGCCACGAATGGAAATACAGTAGCTGGTGTTCACGAATGAAATATTTTTCAATCTCATATGTAAAACAAATAAATTTTCTTTTTATTTCATGCTTTTTAAGTGATTTTAAGTATTTTTTACCAATTTTGCCGCGTAACGTCACGCTTCCTCCTTTGTGACGTCATCACATCATGACGTCACATCATCAATTTTTGAAATACAGGTCTGTTGAATTTCTCTTATTTTGTTACATTTTTAAGATGATGTATGATGAGATCGACTTTCTTGTCCTAAAGAAATAAAATTTACGCATGACGGCATTTATTTCTTCCTGTTATTCCATTTAGTTATGATTTTCTTTTCATCCGCATTCAGATATAGTCCGGCTACAGTGAAAATTATATTTTATAAATTTCACTAGTGATTTATCAGAATATAATCGTCTGATATATTACAATAAAACACTGGAAACACTATCATTTAATTTTATATAATGTTGTTGTTTTTTTTTTTCACACATACTAAATATTCATTCACTGTAATTGTATCAAATGCCAAAACCTTAAGATGCAAAAAATAGTTCATGTATGTAGAAAATGAGTAAATTTTTGGGAAAAAAAAGAAGATACCAAAAATAAACATCTTTTGAGAAATAAAAATGATAGCATTTCTGATGTATTATTGGCCTTTAAACCTTTCTAATTGATGACAAAACATATGAAAGGCGTGACTGAAAGAATGTTAGTAAGCAAAAGAAAGCAAAACGACTCAACGACCTATAGCAATAGAAAACATTAGAAAAGTATAGCATCACTTACAATTTTATTGTCAAGGATAGCCACATAGGGCGTTGATAAAGGACACGTGATGAAATCGTCATAGTATGCTTCCAGATAGTCCCGCCCATCATACACATTACAGTGGATACCAAGGACTTCATCCTTGTCAGAGGGCGTGGCTGGTCTTATTGATAAGCTGTACATAGTTTCTCTATTCTTGTCTAAAACAGTATTTGTACTGTAAACATACTATAGATGCATGTATAGTATGTATGGTGACTGACTTGTGACATGTCGTGTTTTTGCTCCATTTGGCGCCAGACGCAAATACGAAAATAAAATTAAAAAAACACAGGAATACCGTAATCAATTCTTGACAAATGTTTTCATTGTTTAAGCTATACAGAACTATTTCTAAAAGTTTAAGAATATTTTCTATCTTAAATAAAATGCTTTGACATTCACTAGAGAAAGTCTTCTGTCTGCGAGAGTTTAAAACATCGACATAAAAAATATTTCAATCTTGGTTCCAAAATTTGCATATGTGAGAGAGCTTTCAAAGTACTTAACAGTATCTTTATTTCAATTGCACAGGGTTCTTTGTTTTTAACATTTTATTGCTAGCGGCGCTCATTGCGATTGAATTGCTCAATATTTGAACAACTTCTTGCAATTAGAAGTAAAGCATGGCAGACATGATGAAATTTTAAAACAAACCTGTTGAATATTCAGTCCAAATACACCAAATAAGAAACCCGAATTATTTGTACGCTGAAGTATAAACACACCTGAATCTCTAGATTTGTAAAATGTTAAGATTGAGGTCAATGATAAAAGGCCATTTATTAACTAACTTTTGTCCGTCTTCTGTATGGAGATAATAATAACTATTCAACACCATGTTTAAATATATTAATGCAGTACAATACGTAGTAATTAAGCACGTAATATGCAACAATTATGAATATCGTTCACATTAATTTACAATTTTGTTTTTGAACAAACTAGGGTCATAAACTAGTAAGTGGAATAGCATTTACGAAATAAAGCAGTATCTTTACCAGCTGCAAGGCAAACTATGCATTCATATAACCGAACAACTTGCGTGTTCACGACGGTTTTATTATTTACATCCCTTAAATAGCTAAGATAATAACATAACATTTTTTGTACACTGGCTGTAATGATTTTAGGCTTGATTTAAGATTCATTAACTTAAATTTGACTCGCAAAAAATGGATGCCACCAGCAATCATTTTAACACTGTAGAGAGGTCTGATGACCTCTCCAATGATTGCTTGTTACCTTTAATCAAGTTTAGTAAGACTTCAGTTAATCGTAACAGAACTTATCACAACGTTTATTAACATTTCACATACACAAATTCCTTAATCTATGTCATCTGCCTAAATACCTGTAATTTGCAAATGTATTACTAGTTCAGCAGAGAAATGATGGAAAACGCGTCACGTAAAACATTGTGAAATACCATTAGTAGGCCTACGCATAAACGGGCATATGTTTTATCATTTCAGTTACAAGCTTCATAATACAAAAAATAAATTATATATAAATCATATCAGACTGGACACTGTATCGTGTCTACGGCTCTAAAATGGGAAATGAATAAAAAGTTATTGTTCCTTGCATAAGTGCTGTTAGTATTTTTTTAAAATGCTTATAAATATCTTTATGAAACTGTCTTGTAAAACCGATTTATACCCACATATATGTATTGGGTGGGGTATTTGGATGAAAACGAGACAATATGGATTATGATAATTATGTATTTGATCCAAAAATTTCTATTCTGAAACTGAAAACGAGGCTGTGTATGTTACGATGTGGATTTAATATAGACTTTTTGACTCGAAATAAAAAAAGGCCTATTATAAATTGATAACGATTACGACCAATAATTATTTCTATTGTTGTATGAAAATTAAAACATTTTACTCGTGGCTACCGCCAATCATGAAATAATTATTTTCATACCACTCGAAAAAAAACTTGAATACAGTAGCCTCTATATATCGTATAACTTATCGTATAATGATATGCATTAAGTAACAGTAATGCTACCAGAAAAGATATAAGACAACACTATTTTAGATTCAATTAAAGTTTTTATTGCCTCATTCAGTAACATGTTTATATTATGAAGTAACAGTTCAAAATAAAGTTCTAAAAATAACCTCAATGGTATCCAGCCTCAACAAAATGACATTAGATATTCTAGATAATGATAATCATTGAGATTCATACACCTAATTAAACTATCAAACTTAAACTTATCATACACGTGGCAAATTAATATTCGGATGATATCATTTGAATGATGAATAATAATTATTTAATAATTTAATGATGGAACAATTTGTTGCTCAATTTTGTATGGTGACGTTTCTGTGCCATCAGATAGCGATCATGTTTAACGTATTAAATATTTTTCCACTTTCCATATTTGAAAACAGATAAGTAATAAGTAATTAATGTGTTAATTAACTAGTTAACCACGTGATCATCAGATAAGTATCCGGTTTTCGCGTAAAGTAACTATAGTTAACCACTTGACATTTACATAACAACAAATCACCAAAGAACTATATTAATGATGTTGTTGGCAATTGTGAGATATATGCTCCGAGCACAGGCACGAGTATCGGACCTGGGATGAAAAAATATGACCAGATTGATAATAAAACCTGTGTTCATCTTAAAAGTGTCAAAAACCAAAAAAAAAATTGTAAAAAATGACCCCCTTTAAAATATACTATAAGTTAAGAGAAGGCCGGAAACTCCAGATTCGAGCCTACGAGCAAGGGATTCATTTCCCGAGCCGTTGTGAAAACAATTGGCCGGACAATTAAAAACGACTTTCATCACTATTTCACGTTTGTATAAAGCTTCCAAATGAGACCAACCCCAAGTCTCTAGCCCTTCCCGTTCATGAAATATCTATCAGGAAACGAGCGAATTCGTGCTAAAAATCCTTGGTAGACAGAATTGCGGCACAACGATTCGGTACGTAAACATAGACTAATACATGTTTGTCAGCTGAGTATGGGTCAAAATCACTTGAATTTACTAAATAATATTACTAAATACATTAAGTTGGACCACTCACACCCGTCAGTAGCATCTGATACACGTAAAATTCGAATTTCAAACCTTTCCACGGTATTTAGATTCCTTTCAACGCCATTGTCAATCAGCTGTTCGATATTTTGTAACGAGTCTTCTGATTGGCCAATAGCAACGAAACCGCAACGTTTCACACAAGGATGCATAATGGCGTAGAAAGCGATTGAAAGACCGTGTAAATGTTTGAAACTCGAATCTCGTGTGTATCAGATGCTACTGACGGTTGTGAGTGGTCCAACTTAATGTTTTTAGCAATATTATAATAAGTTAAAATCGTGAATTTGTGAAGTTGACACTGTGACTTTGTAAAGTGTAAAATTGTCCCCACAGGTCTTTCTTTTTTTATCCCGCTAAAATATTAATCTCAATTTGCTACTCGGAAATTGAAGTGTAAAAAAAATATATTTGATGAAATATTTTGTAAAATAAATCAACAAAAGCTTTTTTTTCATAACCTAATGTTTGTTTCTTGAAAGATTTTAACATAGTTGGTCAATTTGTATTTATAGAAGGCATTCATAGGTAATTAAGAGCTATAATAAATAATCACCCTTTATCATAATTAAAAATGATCTTGAAAATACTTTTATTTCATAAGTTATATGTTTCATTACATTCTATATTATTACCTCATGCCTTCGTAAATATGAATTGCTAATTTACAACTGTTTAATTCTTGTGCATGCGCAGTGATGTAATGTACTGTATGTATATATCCTAGGCTTAAAAAGGGTCAACCGCCCTTTCAGGCACTGAGAGTACGGATCCAGAACATGTCACCATTCATGTCCTTATATGAAATGAACTCTTAGCTCAATGTACGGTAGTGGTTATTAGAAAATCAAACGTCTGTAGGATTCATTTAAAACAGTTGTAAAAATATTATTTATATGTTGTTGCAATAAATATTATAGTTTGATTGCAAAGCATTAGGTAATAAAACAGTTATTTTATTGGTGTTTGTGGAACAGCTTGCTGTCAACCCTGGAATCGGGACAACAGTTTTGCGTCTTCCACAAACACCAATTAAATAACAGTATAATATAGAATAGGATTCTTTGTTGAATAATTTAATTTATGTTTATATTTGTATTTCTTGACATTATTTTTTTATGTTTTATATAGTTATTTTTGGTTTTCTTTTGATTTAGATATTACCATAAGTTGAAATAATTGTTGCTAATATGTTAACGTGATGGTCAGAATGTATGTGCAAAATGGTTACAAAATTTCTTTTGTTTTCCTTTTTTTAATACTTTTACAATAGTTTAATTTTCGTAATTGGTGTGGTTGAGAACATATTTATATAAAAAAAAGTCATATTATACATTTACATGTGCAAATGAGATGTATGCTCCTTTTCTCACACTGAAACAATAAATCAAGATTTATGAACTCTTTAATGTGTTTTTTTATTATTTATAGTTGATTATCAGCTGTATTACGTATGGGTGTTAGATATTTATACTAATTTATTTTAGTTCGATTGTGTTGGAAGCTAAATACTTATTTAAACACTCTCGAGTCCGTTTCTGGAACCAACCAGTGCTAAGCAATAAATGTAAAGTTTCTTGCTCATTAAAGCAACGACTTGACCCTAACGGGGTTTGAACCCACGCGGTCAGCAATCCCTAGGTTATTGGTACGACGCGTTAACCACCAGGCCACACGCTGTCAGTTAAAATATATGTGTATAAAAGCAACAACCAGCCAACAATTTTGTTTGTTTGATTGATTGAGTTTTACGTCACACCGACACAGTGTAGGTCATATGGCGATGGTCCACCTTTACTGGTGGAGGAGGACCTCAGGTGCCCTTCCGTGCATTATTTCAGGCTCGAACGGGCACCTAAGTAGAACCACCGACCTTCCGTAAGCTAGTTGGATAGCTTCCTCACATGAAAGAATCCAAAGTCCCTGTCGGGATTCGAACCCACAGCGGTGAGGGGAAAATGATTGAAGACAACGACTTTAACCACTCGGCCCATACCAATCAACAAAGAAGGAACAAAAGGAGGAGAAAGTTAGAACATCAAGTTTATTTTACCCCTTACCTGCTGAACTTCTGGAATGGACTTTTAGTTTTGGAACAATTGATTATCAACTTTAGGGAAAAAAACGAAAATTCAATATTGGTTGACCAAAAGTAAAGAGGCTGGCATTGACCTTTACTGGTGACAAAAGCCAATTGCTTTGAATTTATTTCCAGTCAGTGTCATAGCGTGAGCGTTTTTATGCGATGATGTTACTTTTTCGAAATAACTCGGATCAGTTTATAAAGTTAAGATATATGCCTATTAAACAGAGAGGTATTACTGTTTTTCGGACAAAATACAAAGTAAAGCCTTTTAAAAACATTTCTTGTCATACTTGATGGTTTGCTTCAATGCAAATGTAAGAAATAATCTAAACATTCGGTATTAGATTATAATAAATCCAAAGTGTTGGAGCAGTGTGGTATATTTTCTGTATAACATTACTTAGTATATACATTTATATTACATATACATAGTATTTCAATTAGTTAATGTTATCTATATAATGAGACAACATGCTAATGATAGTCATCATGCTATTGTATGACACAACCACCTGACATGTTCAATAATGAGCAATAACGAACAACATGTCGGTCCATGAAAAAGTTCAGGTAAGTTGTAACTTATTCAACTTAAAAGCCACAAGTGTTAACTTGAAGACGAGGATAATTTAGTGAATTTATGAGGCGATTTTATGCGTGATTCTATGGGTTTGTTTTCAACTTTATCATGATATTTTGGCTTAACTATTTCATATTTTTCATATTAGTTTCCTAATATTTGAGCATTTCGTGAAAATTTTACATCTGCAAAAGATTTATGCCAGAAAATTCAATTCGTTTAAGAAGTAATTTAACGACTTCAGTAAACATATAAATACATATCTGTTTCAACTGTTCATGTACTTAAATAAATAAACGTCAGTAATAATAAAAATATATATTAACACAAGAGCAACAAGGATTAAGACAAATGACTTTATCCTTCTATTCATATCGTAAACGTTAATTTGACAGTTACAAAGATGGACGGCGTATCAATACGACTAGCAACAGCCACTGACAAAGAGGATGTCATCAATATCAATCGTATTGTGTATGATGGGCTAGATAACTTGAGCGCATACTATGAGGATTTTATCACGTGTCCATTAACAACGCCCTATGTGGCTGTCCTTGACAACAAAATTGTAAGTACCGCTATTTAAGTATATGACACACCACTGGAGGCGTCAATGGAATAACAGTGTTTGCCCGCAAACATTTATTTTGGCTTCGGTAAGTTCAATGTTTGGAGCTGACTGGGAGGTAAAAAGAAGAAGAAAAATATTTCGTTTAATTACAAAATTTCTAGTAAAATTTACTGAAAAATGTTAGCAATGCACGTTCTGTAAAAACAAATTCTCGTGGTTACGCACCCAAAAATTTTAGCCGTTGGGTAAAAACGTTATTGTAATACGGATCTTACATCGGCTGCCGAAACAAACCGCAATATCCAGCTCTATGGTTACTGTTTGAGCCGGTGACGAGACTCTACACCAAACTGGTTTAGAGCTTCGTTTTCTATTCTATATATTTGTATCCCAACTAAAGTATGACAGCAGTTGTTCCTTTTTGATGTATTTTGCCTTGTCTATTTTGTTATTATATGGATTTTTCTATTCATATATTTTTTTGTGCTGGCGATGTACGGATATAAATGGTTTACATTTGTTAATTGTATGTGAACCATTTCTATGTTGCCGCAGTAATATTTATGCACATATTTTTCTATTTATTTGGCTTGTTCCTAAAAGTATTTTTTACCGATTACAGGTTGGCTTTGTTGCGGCGGTAGTCGTTGACGACGGGGTGACGGTGGTGACACGGGCCGCAAGAGTAAATTCGAGCGTGAGTGGGCGGGGTTTGTACAAGAAACTGGAAACACACGTTTTAAATGAATCTAAGATCAAAGTACATGCATTTACTACAGGGGACGATAACCCAATAACAGAAAAACAGTCATTTAAATCTGTTAACCAACTACTTATCACTAAGGTATAATTATAAACACGAGGCTATCTGATTTGTCGAGTGTTTGATGTTCTTCATAGGCAAAAATTAAAAGGCGTTCCCTGTTGTCACAATATTAAAACCTAGAAAAATGTAACCAATGAACGAACATCTGAATATGACATTTCTTTCCTGAATTCACAATAAGTAAACCTTAGAAAAATTAACCTTACAGCAAACATGCTCTAGACAGTTAGTGCGGGTAGCTAATAGCTGCACTCACTGTGGCACGTTTCCAATAATAAAGTCTCCAAACTATGATAAAATCTATTTTAACTCTAATATTTAACATGGAATCTAAGACTTATTTGTTATCAGTACATATTTGAATTTAATATCTTTTTTAAAACGATTCAAAATTTGGTTAAAATTTGTTAATTTTCAAAATATCAAACCATGTATTACATGTAGTAAAAAAGCTGTAAGATCGTCCAAATGATCTGTGAGCAAACGTGTCATTAAAAATATGAAAATGGGTGAAGCACGTCTGTTAGTTGGCAATTGTTAAGTTCGATAACTTTTGCCGTTGAAAAGAGTACGTAGTTACTACATTGAATAGCTTAAGAGTATTTTAGTTTTCGAAACAAGAACGTGTCACAAAAGTATTGCACGTAAATGAGCATTACTTTACATACATTACGATTAGAATATTTTAATTTTCAGCCTATTGTACGGTTTGTGTTTGATAAATGTGACTTGCAGACTCTGGAAACAGAAACAGAGAATCTAATTGTTCCAACTGATGAAGAGTTGACAGCATTCCTATCAAATGATGTCATTCGACAATACTTTTTTCGTAAAGACAGGATCGTAGTAGATTTGGTTCCTTACCGGGCTATTCCAGCAAACGTGCCTTTCCTTAAGGCACCAAACAGGATGGAAATAGTTTCAGACGTGAAAATAAGTGAAGTAACCAAGGCAAAAGGACTTTTAACAATATGCACAACCTATGCGTCACAAGTCCCACCTTTTGTCTGTAATCTGGATGTATTTGGAACAGATATTTCTTCACTGAAAAGCCACGTGGTTTACCATCTACGTCACATCCGGAAGGAAACAATTGGTTCTGTTTGTTTGTTGTTGTATGTTGACGAGGTCTTCGATATGACAGAACTGGACAACGTTTTTCAGTGTATTGGATTGCAGAGAAATGACTTGATTTATTCATGTCCAGAACGAGTGTGTACCAAACTATATCTGTACGAAAAACATCTAGCCTAAAAAAAACATGCTGCTTGATTCTGTCTTAGAAGTTTTAATTAAGACCGTTTATGTATATGTATGGGAATAGAATTAAATATCGATATAACATTGAATATAAATAAGTTTGAAGTGCTTAGCGTTGCTGGAATAAAATGTGTATCTAAATTTCTTTTTGTTCAACATCCCCAAAGAAGATCAATAATAGCTTTATGTAATCAGTATAAATACTGTGTTATATGATCTTGTAGAACAATGTGCATTTATATTGATCAAACAGCTATGTCAAGGTCAATTGCAACGATCCCGCAACGGAATCACTTAGATGGTGTTTTAACGGTTTGCTAGAGAAAAAGCTTTCATTTTGTTTACGAAACTTTATACACATTATGTAGAGCCGGTTCAAAAAAACTACCATGATGCGTGGAAATCATTTTGCAATTGTTAGACTAGGGCTTTTGACCTTATATTGCTGTAAAGAAGACCACCAAACTAATGGGAAAACAAATCCGCAAAAAATAAGAGAAGTGTTTTTTTAAGGTCGGGTCGAAAGTATGATATTTCTGTCAAAATTTATACACATTAAGGCACATGTAAGAGAAAGAATCATCGCCGGTCAAAAAATAAAACGACCGTAACACTTGGAAATTCCCACGGACATTTTGCTTGGGATAGGGTTTTGGACAATGAAGGCCCACCAAACTAATGGAAATACGAATCGGCAAAGGAATCAGATTAAAGGGTTTTGATGGCCATAAAAATATTGACCAAATATTTAAAAGAACGATATGCTGACTGTTGCGTACTTCAGAGCGATCCTTTTTGGTAGGGAAAGGAAGGCCTGTTTTGGTGTGAAGTTATTAGTTTATGGGCATCACATAAGGGAAATTTAAATGTCGAAAAAATTCGATGCCCTTTCGTTGTCCCTCTGCTTCAACTCTTAACGTAATAACGATCTTACATAAGGATAATGACATACCCCATGTTGCTCGTGTCAATATTATATTGTTTTACAAAATTAATACATTAATCCCCCATCAAAAAGTCCGGCTCTGCACTCAATTTAAACAAAATCATGTGGAATAATCTTAAGTCGACGTCCAAACACGTACATTCAACGTATATAGTAAAGGACCAAAAAGCGTCTTAAAGAATGTAATAACATACCAAAGGTTAACATAAAGAATCTTGTGTTCTCTATGCGACTTTGCTTTTAGGCATTCAGCACTGTACACGTCACTAACACACACACACACACACACACACACACACACGCGCGCGCACAAACGCACGCTCGCACGCACGCACACACACACACACACTACAGAGGATTGTCTTTTGAAACCAGGGCACCACTTTTCCTACTTTAAACGTTTTGCCATTTATTTCAAAGGTATGACCGGGAACAACAACATTTGCATGATCTTAAAGCATACTTTACAAAAGCATTCAAAAAGAATGCCTTGTAGTTTGTCCGATTTTCAATAAAAGTTTACATTTATGTTTTACAAAACGAAAGTACGAAATTATGAAAGTACGAAAATGAAAACATGAAGGTTCGAAACTGCTAAACTCGAAAATGTAATAATCACATAAGTGCGATGATAAAAACGCGAAAGTACTATTGTAAAAACGCAATTTCGCGTCTTTGTGCTTTCTTGGGGTTGAGTTTTTTAAGATTTAAGATAACTTTAGTTATAGTGGATGCATACGATATAGGCAGTCACTAACGGAACACCATAGAAAACCCTAGTTTTCTTTGACACTTGTATATGAATTCTTCAACGTGACTTAGCATTCGTTGGATTTTCTGTACCGTCTAATTATAATTTGCACTGTTCGCTACTCAGTCATTATACATATTTTGAAAATAACCCTAATAATGAAATGGGGCATTAGTGGCAACAACTCAATTAAACCATGATTTGCACGTAAAAATAAAAGTATAATATATCGTTGAAAAGATTATTGATATTTTTTCTAACCAAAAGTCTATTTTAGCACGATTTTCACATGCAATAAAATTTTAGCAAGTCTTTTAAATACATGTGATCTTTATAATCCGATTCAATATCGATTCCATTTTTCAAATATCGGGTATGAAAGGTAAACAGTTTTCCAAAACGAGAACGGAATTCAACGCCAAAATACCCTCGAATTCAGACTTTATAAAGGGAAAATGCCAAGAAAAATTTCAAAGTGAAAAAATAAACAAAGGGCAATAATTCAAACTTAAGGCAAGGCAGAGTTTCGGTTCTAGCGCACTGCACACCTACTCAATGAGATCTAACTACCTACAAAGTTTCATGTTGATACCGTTTATAGTTTTAGAGTTATGTTCTGGACAAAGTTCAAAGTGTAAAAATAAACAAAGGGCAATAATTTAAAAATTAGGAAAAGCAGAGTTATGGTTATTATGCACTGCACACCTACTCAATGAGATCTATCTAGTTTCATGTTGATACGAGGGTTGTCCAAAAAATTCATGCACTGCAGTTATTGTCGTAAGAGTTATTCATAGAAAAACATGAATTATATATCACTTGAAGGGGAAATCTGTCTCAAATAAGGAAACAAAAGAAAAAGTCGTGTAACCGGCGTGTCGTGAAAACGAATAGTCATACAGTTTCCTTGGTAACGTAATACCGGCCCACGACAAAAGTTGGGTTAGTGCATTACAGTATTCTTTAAACACTACATATAAATGTCAAAATTCAGGGAAAAGTGTGTGTTCGTATTCCGGACGAAAGTAGAAAATATTATGTTATTTGTCCTATTGTAACGGTCGTAATCAAACATTCCTGTGTGGTCGTCAATACTGTAATTGCGTGAAAATGTCAGTCGCTCAGCGTCTGGAAAAAGGGACGATCATTAAATTTTGCGCAAATATTGGTAAAACACCAACATATACCTACAAAGAACTTAAAAGGGCAAGCGGGACAACTTCAGTGTCACGAAGGCTGATTTTTAAATGGCACAATGAACGCTCTGTAGAGGGGCGAGAGTCGGTAGACGATGACAACCGGTCAGGCAGACGTCCGTCCGTAATGCCGGCGTATGTGACAATGGTTGTTCAATATATTCGTGCACTGGTGGAATATGTTACATGTACAATGCGTAAGTACAATACAAACTACAAAATACTTGGCATCAATTATTTCTCTACAAAATATGACATAAAATGCAAATGCCACTTTACAAGCACAATCACAGTAATAAACTAACCCATTTTTTTTGTTGTGCGCCGGTATTAAGTTACTCAGGTAACTTTATGACGATTCTTTTTTACGACATGCCAGTTACGCAGCTTTTTCTTTTGTTTTCTTATCTGATACAGACTTCCCCTTCAAGTGATATATAATTCATGATTTTTCTTATAAATAACTCACGACAATAACTGCAGTGCACGAATTATTTGGACAGCCCTCGTACCTCTTATAGTTTTAGAGTTATGTCCCGGACAATGTTCAAAAGTGTTAGGGTTCAAGTAAGCAATGATTCTGTGACATCCGGTACCAGTAGGTCTACCAGCAGTAATGTCCCGAAGTTTTTACTATCAAGTCTACCACCAATGGAATCATCATACAAAGAAGATCAAGTTACGGTTCACATTCCACCCCAACAACTTGAAAAAAAACAACAACAAAAAACAACAGTTCCTAGTTTTTTTTAATAAGCAGAAACCTTTTTTCTCTCAATTCCAGTCAAGCAACGAATCGCTGAATATATAGTTACGGATATGTAGCCATTAACTACAACTGAAGGTGACGGATTTAGGAACTTAGTAAAATAATTAGAACCCCGCTATAATATTGTATCCAGATATCATTCGCCTGTGCCTATGTATCATAATACTGTTGATCATATGAAAGACATAATGCATGATTTGAAAAAGTACGGAATAATTAAAAATCTAGCTTTTCATCAAATTCTTCAAAACAAGGCAGATCTCTTATTTTGAACGGCAAAATTGTATAGGATCATTTGAAAAAAAAAATCAATTTCAGTTCAGAATGGATTGATGCTCTATTCATACAAAACATACCCCATACAACAAATAACTAACTACTGCTGCAAAAATGCGAAATCATATAGCAGTTCAAGTTCTAGATAAGGAAATGATGTTCTGAATGAAAACTTACCAAAACAAACTATGTACGACTCGCAAATACTTTTATCTTAAATCTCATTACTAGAAGAAAACAAACAGCAGACACAATACCTAAATAGACCCATATCAACCACATCAAATGAAAGTTTGGACACTGCCTTACAATTCCTCAATTATGGGAAAAAGATATACAATTAAACAAATCTTATTGAGTTAAAAGGAATGTAATGACATATGACCTAAACGCTTCTATAACTGGATTTTTATCTCTATGGTACATGCATATCAAGGTTGAAAATTCTTTAATTCCGGGATATTTCAATTCAAATTTAAAAGAAAATTTATTATGTCAACAAAGAGGGATCATAAATGGTTTAAATACCAATCCTATTCTAGCACAATATGGTCCATCTCAAAATGCAATTATATTAGGACAAAAGATTAATAGTTCAAACTCTGGGACAAGTACTGCCTTATTCACAGCAAATAAGCCATGCCGACTGAATCCGAATAGAAAAAAATCTGCGAAGAACGCTACACTATCAAAATTATGTAATATATATAAATATCAATAAATGTGTGCATGAATATCTTGAACACCTATTAATCCAGATTTTAGTAGATCTACATTGAAGATTTTCCTCGATTTTTACATTTCCGTATGTTTGATCAAATGGACCTTTCCGGTTTTTCGTAGCCACAGCTTTACCATTCATTGCTAGGTCAACTGCTCTCAAACACTATCACAAACATAAGCACGTGTTCTTTTGTGCACACCAGGTCAACCAGTGACTATGTTTTATCTCAGTGTAGCGATTGGATAACAAGTTAGCCAATTTACATAAAACTGTAAACACCGGAACGGTCCATACGATTACTTAAGCCTTTACTGTAAAGATCATAGTATAAAATAATAATATGTCTCATATATTCAGTTTTTCTGCGACAAAGTTTAATTTTCATAAAAAAATGTTACGATTGTTTTTGTTTCGTTTTTTCCCTTTGTAATAGTAATGTAAAACGCATTTTACAGGTATAAAATGCAACTTACGCATACTAATTGTTTTTGACGAAGTAAACCTTTCTTTCTGATTTATATTAGACAATAATGTTTATATTAACAAATGCACATCATCTATTCATATTGTTAATGCATACCGATGTACTCTATCTGAATCTTTTCTTAACTGGGCGAAGTATTATTTTATGTATGTATATAGGATATATATTGGAACTTTTTCAATTTTCGTTCGTATAAACATTTGTACAATGATTAATGCTGTTCACAATCTGACTAAATCTCCTTATTTCTTTTATGTAGATCTGATAACCACCGCATATGTTTTTCCTTCTTTATAATTCGGATTTCCCGAAAAAGCTATTTTTATCCATGAAATCAAACCGGATGTTACATAGGCATTAGAAAAAGTATTAAAGTATTAAAATACCGTTATCCGTGCAAGTTAAACAAATTGTTGATTTTTGCTAAAAAAAAATGTTTGAAGTAATTTTTAACAAATTAACTTGAAATTATAGGGTCAATTTTTAATGGGCAAGATTGTTTTGCCAGTTTCCCTGTCGGCTAATATAAATGGACGACGCCATGTTTATTCTCGAAATCGTGAAAATTACCTACTCAGTATTGGTTTTCCCAGTGTTGAAATTATAAACCACATCGCTTTCAAAATTATGAAAGCTCGCCGATGATTGGCTGTGTGAAAGGTCACCAGAAATGATTTGGTATTTGGTCACGGTTAGATCTAAATGCGGAGCGTTATTTAGAGGTTTTAATTAGATTGTGCTGTTCAAACCCTTTGACGTTGTCTTTATTCTTAAAATATTGTTAGACTTGTACCATATGCATGTTTGACCTTGTTGCAATTCTAACAGACAACAATAAGCCAAATTCACTTAATCACTCAATTTCGTCTTATTGCCCTAGCACAAAAACACCGTCAATAACACGCATAATAAGCATTTTTACTAAAATTGAGCTAAGAATTGAGAATATCTAATAATATCTTTTGCATGTTTTTTCCGGTCGATCTTTTATGTTTATGACGTTGGACCTCTTTTGTGTCACTTTCAAGGAAAATTAGTACATGAAGGACGCAGTTGTAAAAAACAACAACATACATTGCAAAAAATTTTATTAGGTAATGATCAAAGAACAACATTATCAAAAAAAAAATCCTTTATATTTTTTTTATCCTGACTTATATATACCCAACCTAAAAATATGTGATATAAACTTTGTTTTCTTCTATAAAGACCGAAACGTTTAGTAGGACTGATCACCGGAAGTGGTTTAACAAAAATAATTTTACAAAAACAATATTTTGTAACCATTCAAATTGAAATAGTGATTTGAAAAAAGGGTGAACAGATTGTATGTAAATCACAACATTTAGAACAACACCAAGAATACCAACACTTTTGTAAATTGATTTCTATAACATGTAATGTGACATTGTAAAACAATTAGCAATTTATATTTATTTAATGACCAAAAAACAAAAAAAGTATTTTAGGTGAAACGAATTCCTAATGATAATGAGTTAGAATTTCATTGGCCAACACGTGTGCCTTACAATTGTTTTGTGGGTTTTTTTTTTATTCCAAAGACAAATGGACCTTGGCAAGTAAAATGCAACTATACACGTTTGCAAAGAAATAATTTAAGGCCCATTTTGCCTCAGAAATGCTATCATTTTTATTTTTTTTAGAGTAATGTATCAAAACAATGCTCATTGGCAAAATAGATGACCCATCTTTTACTTCTTTTTCACTGTTAGTAATTAGTATAATTATAGTGAATTAGTACCTTGTAATGGAAGTCAAATTATTTCTTTGATTACATTTTGCTACCTTTACGACACGTTACTGCACATTCAGCGCAACTTTCTTCATTTAATTAACATTTCACATGCTTTTATTCTATTATTGAAACATTATTAAACAAATGTTTGATATTTCAAAAGAATTAAAAAAAAAAGAATAAAAAACACTAAAACGTGCCGTGATTTAGCGCAAGAAACACACTGGCAATAACAAAAGTTATCATAAGAACTCTGTGACATCTTCAGAGTTATTACAAGAACTCCGGGACATTTGAAAAATCGGGTATAAATCTGTTAGCCGGTGCTTTATGTTTGCAATTTTGCATTATTATTAGGTAATTATGTATGGCAAGGATGAAGACCAGAAATAAACCGATCAATACTTGTGAATTGGCAAATAATTTGGAAATTTTACTGAAAACTACCAGATTTATAGCAAGAGGCGATTAAAAGGCGATTAAAAATGGCCAGTGAATTAGTTTTTGACACATAATACAAGATGTAAGACAAGCTTAATTATTAAAGTTTAATTTAGCACCTAAAACTCATTTTGAACGATGAAAATAACCATTTTTAACGAGAGTTTTTGTAATATATACAGATGTTTTCCGACGAACTCCGTGACAGTTATCACAAGAACTCCTGAACAAGTTATCATAAGAACTCCATCCTTCGTGTAACACTTCCTCCCCCGTGTTTATTAAACAACCAAGGTTTACAGATCACGTGCTCCTCCATCTACCGAAAGCAGGTCACGTGCTCCGCAAATGCCTCAAAACTTAATTTTCAGTTATATCTAGTTTCTTCGCCAACAATAGTAATTCTACATCTACTTTACCATGGTAGACAAAACCACTTTTTGGGAAATGCTTGCTACATCGTAAATCTGGTATTTTAATATCTACCTCCGCTTGTTCACTGCTGCATTCAAAGTTAATTTGGCTTCTCTTTTCACTATGTTCGCAGCTGACAGGTTTTAAGACGATTCTCCCGAAAATTTTGATCTTCTTCACTTCGGCTCCTGTAGTACTGCTTTTTACCTTAAAGATGCTTGAACCGTAGGTCGCGTCTGCAATAAATAAGGCACAATTAGCTTCGATACCATGCATGCATATTTTAAAAGGTTTCCATTTATTGATATAAGACGTAACCTGCAGCAAGTTTCCATCCCAATCCTTATAATCTGTAATTTCAGGTATCTGGTGTGGTTCCAGATAAGACTCATAGTATCTTTTCAAAACTTCAAGAAAATTCTTTGGTTGAAGACGAGATACCATTCTATCAAGGATCATATATTTCACTTCCGGTTTGATTTTCAAGTTTTTTTCTGCTCTGTGGAATGATTCCACTTTCAAACATGAAGCAACATCAACGCATTTTCGCAATAGACAGGTCATGTTATAAAGGTTAGCCTGCTCTAATACTCTGTAAAGATCATCAGATGATATGGTTCCAGTGACCTGCTTTAGTAGAAACGCCTCACACTTTGATTTAAGATTTAATACTTGATATTCTTCGGCCAAAGGTAGAACGGCATTAACATTTTCAGAACTTATTTCGGCCGGAAATGGATAAATACATCGCAGAAATTGCTGAATATCTTCAACTTTTTTCCCAAGCAGGTCAAGCTCAGTTGAGTTTTTCTCCTTAAATTCTGCTTGAAACATCGTATCGAACACCGGCGATGCGTACGCTAAAATACCCTTTACAACGTGTAGTCGTTTATTTTCAACAATAAGAACAAAATCGTCTTTCCATGTTTTTTCTGTGAAATCGAAAGTAGGCGTTTCATCTTTATTGCCAACTTCCTTACATTTTTCGTCATTTTCAACGTTTACAACTTCTTCAACAAGCTGTGATTCCATCTTCGGGGTAGTATTATATCATTTTCAAGCGTTTAATGTTATTAGTAAAATTGATGTATTTCGCAAGCGTTTAACCGGATGTTTTTATTTGGTGAATTATAGCAACACACTAGTAAAAGACAGAGCACGGTACATACGGCATTTTCTAAATATCAAATGTGCATTATTTATACATTTTGTATCTGTATTACTTATTTATGATTTGATCAGAAAAATTAAGATAGAGAAGTTGTTTTTTTCTTATGCAAACACTGTTAAATCAACGTAGAGTTAAATAAGGACTCAGTGGTATCTGACATTTCAGCCCAGTTTACCATAAAGTTTATTTATTTATTTATACTAGCTTGATAATCTTTACTTATTTATTTATTTATTATTTATTTATTTATTTATTTATATATTTATTGACTTACTTATTTATACTAGCTTGATAAGCTTGATATTTATTTATATATTAATTTATTTAGTATTTTAATTTTTATTTACTTTACTTAACTTTACTTTCTATTTACTTTACTTTCTATTTACTTTACTTTTTACTTTACTTTGCTTTCTATTTACTTTACTTTACTTTCTATTAACTTTACTTTCTATTAACATTACTTTCTATTAACTTTACTTTCTATTTACTTTACATTCTATTTACTTTACTTTACTTTCTATTTACATTACTTCACTTTACTAGCTTGATAATCTTGATATTTATTTATATATTAATTTATTTAGTATTTTAATTTTTATTTACTTTACTTAACTTTACTTTCTATTTACTTTACTTTCTATTTACTTTACTTTTTACTTTACTTTGCTTTCTATTTACTTTACTTTACTTTCTATTAACTTTACTTTACTTTCTATTTACTTTACTTCACTTTACTAGCTTTTTCTATTTTCTTTTCTATTAACATTACTTTCTATTAACTTTACTTTCTATTTACTTTACATTCTATTTACTTTACTTTACTTTCTATTTACTTTACTTCACTTTACTTTTTATTTACTTTACTTTACATTACTTTCTATTTACTTTACTTTCTATTTACTTTACTTTACTTTATCTTGCGGTAATGACTTATATCCACGTGGAAGGTGTTCACATTGGTGTTCACATTGGTCAAAGTTGACCTTTAATATTCATACTCATGAAAAACGAAGTTTTCAATCAAAATAGTTTAACATGTTAAGTGTTTTACCAAGAGATCAACATTTTACCATAGGAACTCTGGAACAGGACCGCATATTGCGGCGCATAAATCCGAATCCGTACCGGCTTTACATATTGTTTGTCCGACCTTTGAATATCTTTTCATATTATGCGAGCGGATGGTCTTTATTTATCTAATCTCAATTAGATATAATCTGCTAATTTAAAAATCAGTCAAACATACGGTATATTGAAAAAAGAAAAGGAGTGACATCCGCCATTTGCCGCAACGTTCGGCGTAAGTTACCCCCCTTGATATGCTTGATTTTTGTTTTAATTTTTCTAGTAATGAATACGAGATGAGTGCCTAAAATATTTATCTATGGATCATGTTTAAATATTCCATTTTTCAGGTAGACAAAATCAGTTGGACTATATTACTAAAGTGTCTGTTTCCTCCATTTTAACAAATCAATACACGAATAAGCCCGTTATAATGCCGCCTATACATGTCAACACGTGTACAAACAATAAACCGTTAACGTTATATCCGGACGATACCTGATAGTTGACAAAAATAACGGGCACAAAATTCTGAAAAAAATAGTAATCAATTGTAGCCAAAGGGGAAAAACTCATGCCGAAAACGTTGCGGCAAATGGCGGATGTCACTCCTTGTCTTTTTATATAATACCGTAAAATTTGACCAATTTTAAAAGAGACAGATTGGGTTCAATTGATAATATATTTTTTGAGTCCATACACTCGGATAATACTAAAAGATATTTAGATGTAGCAAAAACGTATTTAAAAACCGTTACAAGATCGAAAATATACGCCGCAATCTGCGGTCCCGTTCTCGAGTTCCTATGCATTTTACAAATTTGCAAACTATTGATAAATAAAGAAAATTTAATAAATAAAAAAATGACAATAAAAGTTCCGTTAACTGAAACATACGCCATTTTCTAAATGTTCTTGTTTGCAGGAAAATAAATTGTTTTCCAAGGGTAAAGGTAGTTTGATAATTTAACAAGATACCATGAAAGTAGTTTTGCCTTATGAGCCAATGTCTCTTGGTCAAGGCTACATGTAGATTTGTCAATTATGAGATAATGGCTTCCCCTTTGTTCAAGTTCAGTTATACTTAATTAGATTGTACAATCTAAAATCTATTCAATTACTGTTATAGATTCTAGAAAACAATCTAAACAATTTCAAAAGTTCACCTATAAATACAAAGCTATTGCTGATTGCGTCAGTGCATGTATTTGTAGAAGTAAGCTACTTACCTACTGGTTAGTATCTATTTGTTGCACATTTCTTAGTCTTACAATAGGAATTTTTCAAAAACTGAACAGATGAAGTTTTTATTTTACCAGAAGTAATTTATACATGTACTATTCATCTATACTTTATATAGGAGGGGCATATATATTACATAATAAGTGGCAACAACTCAATTTAACCATGATTTGCACGTGAAAATACATGTATCATATACCGTTGGAAAGATAATTGATATTTCTAACCAACAGTCTATTTTCGCACGATTGGCACGTGCAATAAAATTTTAGAAGGTCATATTCAAATATACACATGGAGTTTTGTACATGGCTGAGTTGCATTGTGATTTGAGAGAGGAGCAAAGAGCTTATTGCAAAATTCGTGGGTTATAGGGAAAATGCGCTACAGAAATAAAAACGGATATAGAAGTTTATGAAAAAAATGCCATTCCATATCGTACAATTGCCAGGTAGGTGTCAATGTTTAAGGAAGGTAGAACTAATGTAAATGATGACCCCGCCCTTGGCAGCAACTTTCCGCTACCTCTGTAAAAGACATGAGCACTGACAAAGCCATAGTAGATGAAAATGCAAGATATTCCTTGGGGGAGATAAGTGACACATTTGGCCTTCATCATGCGTCATATGTGTATTCCATCTTGAAAGAAAAGTTAAAGTTAAGGAAAGTTTTCGCCCGTTGGATAACTTCGACTATAAAATGGCGCGGGATGAAAAAGCCTCGGCTTTATTGACTAGGTTCAAAGATCGAGAGAGCAATTGAAATGAGAATGAAACGTTGCTTTTTTAAGCCCAACAAAAAAGTCAGTAACAAAATGTGGGTAGTTGAAAACAGCGATCACCAACTTCTTTCTCGGCGTAGCAGAGACGTTAAGAGAGTTATGTACGCTCTGTTTTGACAGTGATAGAATAGTGGCTAGGGTCGCTGTGCCTGAGGGGGGGGGGGTAGTGTCACTGGAACATTTTACCTTGACCATGTTTTCACTGCTGTTGTTAATCGCTACATTAACCCAAGGTCCGGGGTGCCCAGGATCAAATTACTCCATGATAATGCACCGGGGCACCGGTCAGCCTTGATTCAAGCTTAATAAATGGAGAAGAGAAATGGGGTTTGGCTACATCCTGCTTATAGTTTTGACCTCTATTCTTGGGACTTTTGGTTGAATCCATACATTAAATCTTGCCTTCGCAGCAGTTCGAAAGTTGTTGTGCGGTCGAAAGCGCTCTCTATCAGTGTATAAACATTATACCCAAAGAACAGTTCAAAATGCTATTATTGGATAGATTTTGAGGCTAGAACTTGGACTCCATGCGCTGACGCCACCACTTATACTACGCCACCACTTATACTGCTCCGGGCTGAATGTTTATACTAAAATAGAAATGAGTAGTTACCGTTTGCCGCTATTTTACCGGACAAGAGCAGGAAGAGGCAATTTTACTGGCTATATGGTCACAGTTTTGTGTTGAATGTCTCTTGTGGAACAGGAACATCTCACTCTCTGAAGTAAGTACACTTTAAATATCTCAAGAATAGAAAGTTATCGTCAGATACTTCAATGCCGCTTCATGTAGGGTAAAGGAATCACTTCAAGTAACCATCACCACAACTTTATGTTTGTTTGTTTGATTTAGCTCTGTTGTACTTAAATTAAATTAGAAATGCACATCGCATGACCTTTATAAGACATATTATTATTATATACTATGATCTTTACAGTAAAGGCTTAAGTAATCGTATGGACCGTTCCGGTGTTTACAGTTTTATGTAAATTGGCTAACTTGTTATCCAATCGCTACACTGAGATAAAACATAGTCACTGGTTGACCTGGTGTGCACAAAAGAACACGTGCTTATGTTTGTGATACTGTTTGTGAGCAGTTGACCTAGCAATGAATGGTAAAGCTGTGGCTAAATCTTCCGCTACGAAAAACCGGAAAGGTCCATTTGATCAAACATACGGAAATGTAAAAATCGAGGAAAATCTTCAATGTAGATCTACTAAAATCTGGATTAATAGGTGTTCAAGATATTCATGCACACATTTATTGATATTTATATATATTACATAATTTTGATAGTGTAGCGTTCTTCGCAGATTTTTTTCTATTCGGATTCAGTCGGCATGGCTTATTTGCTGTGAATAAGGCAGTACTTGCCCCAGAGTTTGAACTATTAATATTTTGTCCTAATATAATTGCATTTTGAGATGGACCATATTGTGCTAGAATAGGATTGGTATTTAAACCATTTATGATTCCTCTTTGTTGACATAATAAATTTTCTATTAAATCTGAATTGAAATATCCCGTAATTAAAGAATTTCCAACCTTGATATGCATGTACCATAGAGATAAAAATCCAGTTATAGAAGCGTTTAGGTCATATGTCATTAGATTCCTTTTAACTCAATAAGATTTGTTTAATTGTATATCTTTTTCCCATAATTGAGGAATTGTAAGGCAGTGTCCAAACTTTCATTTGATGTGGTTGATATGGGTCTATTTAGGTATTGTGTCTGCTGTTTTTTTTATGCCCCCATTTCGAAGAAAAGGGGGTATATTGCTTTGCACTTGTCGGTCCGTCGGTCCGTCGGTCCGTCGGTCCGTAGACCAAATGGTTTCCGAGTGATAAC